TACAATGAACCAACCCTGGTGCTGTTTCTTTTGATGTGAAATATTATTTATATTTTAAATAAAAAGCAATGTTAATTCTGTTTACAGTTCTGTCATCACATTATCTAATATGATTAAATAACACATTGTTGTTTCTGTTGTAGTAGTACCGTTAAAACCTACTCATTCCCGGCTCTAAGGACTCATTCCCTCTATAGTATAGTATAAACTCATGTTAGGGTTTTAGGACTCATAATGCTGACTCATTCCCGGCTCTAAGGACTCATTCCTCTCCCCCAGGTACCCTCACTGCCTGCACATGCTGGAGCTGCTGCAGTACGAGCACTTCAGGAAGGAGCTGGTGAACGCTCAGTGCACCAAGTTCATCGACGAGCAGCAGCTGCTCCACTGGCAGCATTACAGCAGGAAGCGCTCCAGACTGCAGCAGGCGCTCGCTGAGCAGCAGCAGCATGTAGCCACGCATGCTAACACATCCGCTAAGTGAGGAGGAGGAGGAGGAGGAGGATAATATTTTTCTTTCTTTTTTCACTTTTTGCTGTTGTCACCTGTCGACCTCCGTACTTTAGTAAATGCAAAAAGACCATGTTAAAAAATACGCATTTGACAACAACAGAAGAAGAAAAAATTTGATAAATTAACACACATTACACGAAGAGGAAGAGGAGGAAGAGGAGGAGGAGATAGTGGGACAATATTATTCTTTTTTTGGGCTTTTTGCCGATTCATGTACTTCTTTTTACATTCACTGAAAATAAAACAAAGCAAATAAACACGTCTTGAATCCAGAAGCAGATTGTCTTATTTGTGTTTCATAAAATGTGTGTGTTTTTATATCCACATCGTTTCTGAAGCTGCGACGTGTTTCTCCTGATAAAAGAGGTTTGAAGTGTGTTGGCACCCGTAGGCCACCGTACTTTAGTAAATGCAAAAAGACCCGTGAAAAAAACGCATTTGACAACAGAAGGAAAAAGACATAGATACATTAACAAACATTACACGAAGAGATAGTGGAGTTAAGAGGACAATATTTTAATTTTATTTTTTGCTCAAACATGTAATTCTGTTTTCACACATGTGAAGTTTGAGCACTTTTTGAACATTTTCATAGGAGTTATAGCGACATCGTCTTTTATGGCAAGGGATGCATTTCCATGGAAACGGCATATGGTGAGATCTCAGATTTGGCGTAGAGCTGTTGAGGCATGGACCGGTGATATACAAGTGAAGATTGGGGGACGATTGCACCGTGTCCATTGGACTTACAGCGACATCGTGTTTCATGGCAAGTGGTCTGTCGCCATGGCAACGGCATTTGATGACACCCCATAATACGCTTAGATGCGTTGATGGCTGCATCGTTACCAAACCTGTGAAGTTTTGGGCCGTTTGGAGCATTTTCACTGAAGTTATGAGAAAACCGTGTTTCATGGCGGGCATTGTGTTGCCATGGCAACGGCATGTCCCGTAGATGTCTTCACGGCTGGACTGTTAGCACACATGTGAAGTTTGAGCACTTTTTGAACATTTTCATAGGAGTTATAGCGACATCGTCTTTTATGGCGAGGGATGCGTTGGAAACGGCATATGGTGAGATCTCAGATTTGGCGTAGAGCTGTTGAGGCATGGACCGGTGATATACAAGTGAAGATTGGGGGAGGATTGGACCGTGTCCATTGGACTTACAGCGACATTGTGTTTCATGGCGAGTGGTCTGTCGCCATGGCAACGGCATTTGATGACACCCCATAAACGCTTAGATGCGTTGATGGCTGCATCGTTACCAAACCTGTCAATGTGACATCATCGTGTTCCATGACACAGGTGTTCATATTTGAGCTAACGACGACAGCTGTGTGTCACCAATAATGTATAAAATAGGTGGAACATGTTGAAGTCAGTATGAAGTCTCCATCAGACAGAAAAGAATAGGCTCAGACAGTCTGTTAAACTCCAGTGACCACGTCGTTAGCTCAAACACGAACACCTGTGTGTTATGACATCATCGTGTTCCATGACACAGGTGTTTATATTTGAGCTAACGAGGTGTGCAGAGATCAAAGGTTTGCATTGTTCTGAATGAGAGATGAACCTCTTACATGTGAACGTTTTGTGGAAGAACGATAACAGATAAAATAATATGAAGGCAAATTTCAAGATTTCCTCCACTCTAGCTGTGACATCACGCACTCTAGTTAATGTTAAAATCTGAAGAAAGCCTCTTTAACAAGGTCTGAACAATGTTTAATATCTCTAAAAGTAAGAATCAGATTTAAAAGTTGTGTTACACGAATAATGTCAGAAAGATGTGTAACATTTTAAAGTTGGAATGAGGTTTCTGAGTGAAAGTATGAATGAACAGTTAGCAGTTGAAGTCGCATGAAGATTTGTTGAAGTCTGAAGAATTTTTCCATTGACTTCAATGTTAAAAATGTGATGTATTATGGGATGTATCTCTGGAATTATGAAAGTTATGAATGATAAAAGTAATAGCAGTCGATTCCCGACCGAGCTGAACGTTTTGATGTTTGAACGGAGTTTCTGCGATGTTGAATGTGGGAGGAGAAGAGCGCCAAAATAATTGGACGGAATAATAATAAGTATTTTGTCCGTAGCATAACATATAGTGGGAATGCTGTATCAGCATTCCCACTAAATGAGATCAATTAGGGAGGATTTATTAGGGGACTTAATGTTAGGGCGAGTAGGACTGTCAACAATCTGAGTAACATTGAAATCCTCTGATACTGCAGTTAACCAGTCCCAGTTAAAATCTCCAAGTAGCACTATTTCCTTGTAGTCAAGTTGCAATAAAAGATTTGCTAGTGAAGACAAGGAGTCCTTGACAGCTGAGGGGGGTCTGTAACACCCCACCACCATGACCTGTTGCCCCTTTGCCAGAGGTGTGGACTCGAGTCACATGACTTGGACTCGATTCAGACTCGAGTCACCAATTTGATGACTTTGGACTCGACTTGACAAAATCACAAAACACTTGCGACTCGACTTGGACTTGAACACCAATGACTCGGGACTTGACTTGGACTTGAGCCCTCTGGCTTGAGGTGACTTGATAATTTAATTCAGAGGTCTCCAACACGCCGATCGCGAGCTGCCGCTAGAAGAGCAGACTCCCGTCGGGGAGAGCAGAATCTTCAGCCGCTGCAACTCTTGCTGAGAATCCTTGCAGGCAGGGGCGGGTCTTTATTTAGCTGGGCCACCATGCGGCCAATCATATGTGAGGACACACTAGGATCATACCATTATGTGAAAGAAGGGTGGGGGGCAGACGCTCCAAAGACAGCAGGTGTAGTGGTACAGGCCAGCTACACAGAGCCACGGGGAGACAGATTTAAATGCAAGCGCGTCGGAAAAAGTCAAGAAATGAGCGAAAACCGAAAAAAGAAGCAGCTTCTGGCTGCATTTCAATGATATTGGAGAAAGCAGAGCTGAGTGCAGGATTTGTAAAATGAAAATAACCTTCAGAGCAGGGTTTTTTTTTGGTAACCACTCAGGATGTATTGTCAGAGGTGGGAGAAGTTCAGATCTTGTACTTGAGTAAAAGTACCAGAGTGTAGGAATACTCGGTTACAATAAAAAGTCCTGCATTCAAAATGTTACAAGTAAAAGTACAAAAGTATTAGCATCAAAATACAGTTAAAGTACCACCTGCAGAGGGATGTAGATTCAGGTGTTCTTTTCCCCATAGAGACGCCTCGCTGCACATTATCCCTTGCATAAAGATAGATTGTGGGTCCCTTATAACATGTTGTACACAGTGGAAATAAACATTCTGGTCACCTCAACATCAGGGATCTTATCAATTAAACTCCTTCTGAATCAAACCGTCACGGTAGCCTTACCTTACTGATCCCTCTTAAAATAGAAGAAAACACGTTACTTTACCAGCAGAGAGAAAATAGATTATTAAATGATTAATGTGACTAATAAAGAGCAGTTTGATTATTAAGTATTATTCTGTTGATCGATGTCATTACATTTGGTGAAAAGCACATAATTACTTGTTTAAGACTCGTTTTGTCAAAGTTTAGGACTTGGACTTGACTTGAACTTGCCCATCCTGACTTGAGACTTGACTTGGACTTGAGCGCAAAGACTTGAGACTTGACTCGGACTTGAGCGCAAAGACTTGAGACTTGACTCGGACTTGAGCGCAAAGACTTGAGACTTGACTCGGACTTGAGCGCAAAGACTTGAGACTTGACTCGGACTTGCAAAACAATGACTTGGTCCCACCTCTGCCCTTTGCCACTTCTATATTTAAGGCTAAAAATTTGAATTGCTTACTGATAGATTTGGAAACCAATGTGGTTACACTGAACTTATTCTTAACATAAATGGCAACTCCACCACCTTTATTAGGCCGGTCGGAGCGATACACATTATAACCATTTAAGGCAATGTCAGAGGCCAAAATAGATTTATTTAGCCATGTTTCTGATAACACAATGACGTCAGCGTCAGTCGAGCTTGCCCAAATGCGGACAAAATCTAGTTTACCTAACAGACTGCGCACATTCAAGTGGATGAAACCCAACCCAGACCTAGCTTTAAAATCAGCAGGAGTAGCGATCGGACTACTACTACTGGGCGGACCAGGGTTAGGTTGAACATTTCCTGACAGTAATAACAACAACAAAAACAGGCATCTTTTCCTCTTAATCGACACACATACATTGTCATCTACTTTAGAATCACCAGAAAAGTCTGCGAGAGTGTGATTAGAGTTTAAGAAGCAGTCCTGAAGAACCATCATCGCAGGAAAACTAAAAAGACAAACATATATGAGTTCCCACAGTTGACAGTGCACATCAGAGCACAAACCAAGTCCTGGGCTGAAGTCGAATAGTCCATTTAGCTTAGGAACCTTCCTAACGGAGTGAAATGACCCGGAAGTCCCTCAGTGGCAGCCATGATAAGTGCCGTTCCAATTCTCTAGATGAAAGGAAAGGAGGTTTCAAACTTCCTTTATAACCTCCTTTAGCTTAGGAACCACTGGACCTCCCTAACCTAAAGGAGAGGAGAAAATGCTGCCCCACAATGCCTTGCGGCCGCGGCATTTGCCGTCACACAACAGTCGGCCGTTCACGGAAACAACCGATTATGAACGAGAAATGATATCAGGAAAGTTACGGTGCTTATTAAGCTTTTTAAAATGTATGTGGTAAGTTGCCAAAGTGCTTTGTTTTGAACGTTCATCAGTATTATAATCAAAAAGAGAAATATGAACGTTAGTTTTTACTGAAATGATCAAATAAAGTCAACATTTCACAGTCTTTACTGAGCTGTGTGGGGTTTGTTCAACTTTTAAAAGATGTTTGAATGGTGATATACACAGTGATAGATGTTAAGGACTAACGTTTATAATAAATACATTTGTATTGATTTTAAGATCTTTTCATACAGTCATACGTATTGGGATCATTTGTATTAATGTGGACCGGAGGGTGAGGGTGACGAGCATAAGTTTCACTTTCCTTTTTTATTTCAATTCCAACTTTGGTCATGAAGAATATGTTTCTCTGTTGTCCCCGTTCATAAAGCATAAAGCAACAGCATCAGAGCACGGTGCAGAGTCTCTAGATGAGTTTACAGTAGTCCCTCGTTCTTATTAAACATCCATGTTGTAGTCCGCTGTATAGAAAACTGTAGTTTCCATAGTTTCCCCACAGCAGCAGACGCACATTCATGACGTCCGCTGGCGCATCATAAACACGTCGGATAGTGGAAGTGCAGTCGGATTCTCTAAAGTACCGCAGTCTCTTCTCCTAAATCCTTTTGAATTCTCCTATCCACTATCCCTTAACCCCATGACGTTTCACTCAGGGGTCAAGGAATAGACGATAGGGTTAGACGATAGGAGCTGATTTTTGGATTATCCGACCGCAGCCAAGGGTTGTGCTCTTGTCTCAGACTGGGGCAAAGGTTCACCTTCCAACAGGACAACGACCCTAAGCACACAGCCAAGATAACAAAGGAGTGATTTCAGGACAAGTCTGTGAATGTCCTTGAGTGGCCCAGACAGAGCCCAGGTTGCGGTCGAATACTCCAAAAAAACAGCTCCTAAATTCTAACCCTATCGTCTATTCCTTGACCTCTGAGTGAAAGGTCACGGGGTTAAGGGATAGTGGATAGGAGAATTCAAAAGGATTTAGGAGAAGAGACTGCGGTACTTTAGAGAATCCGACTGCACTTCCACTATCCGACGTGTTTATGATGCGCCAGCGGAGGTCATGAATGTGCGCCTGCTGCTGTGGGGAAACTATGGAAACTACAGTTTTCTATACAGCGGACTACAACATGGATGTTTAATAAGAACGAGGGACTACTGTAAACTCATCTAGAGACTCTGCACCGTGCTCTGATGCTGTTGTTTTATGCTTTATGAACGGGGACAACAGAGAAACATATTCTCCATGACCAAAGTTGGAATTGAAATAAAAAAGGAAAGTGAAACTTATGCTCGTCACCCTCTCCCTCCGGTCCACATTAATACAAATGATCCCAATACGTATGATTGTATGAAAAGATCTTAAAATCAATACAAATGTATTTATTATAAACGTTAGTCCTTAACATCTATCACTGTGTATATCACCATTCAAACATCTTTTTAAAAGTTGAACAAACCCCACACAGCTCAGTAAAGACTGTGAAATGTTGACTTTATTTGATCATTTCAGTAAAAACTAACGTTCATATTTGACTTTTTGATTATAATACTGATGAACGTTCAAAACAAAGCACTTTGGCAACTTACCACATAGGCTACGTTTTGAACCGTAACTTTCATGATATCATTTCTCGTTCATAATCGATTGTTTCCGTGAACGGCCGACTGTTGTGTGACGGCAAATGCCGCGGCCGCAAGGCATTGTGGGGCAGCATTTTCTCCTCTCCTTTCGGTTAGGGAGGTCCAGTGGTTCCTAAGCTAAAGGAGGTTATAAAGGAAGTTTGAAACCTCCTTTCCTTTTAATTTAGAGAATTCGAACGGCACTTATCATGGCTGCCACTGAGGGACTTCCGGGTCATTTCACTCCGTTAGGAAGGTTCCTAAGCTTAATGGACTATTCGACCGCAACCCCAGACTTTACCCTGATTGAACATCTCTGGAGAGATCTGAAGATGGCTGTGCACCGACGCTCCCCATCCAACCTGATGGAGCCTGAGACGATCTGCAGAGAAGAATGGGAGAAACTGCCCAGAGATAGGTGTGGCATCATGCTCAGAAGACTTGAGGCCGTAACAGCTGCCAAAGGCGCTTCAACAAAGTATTGAGTAAAGGGTGCTTATGTACATGTGATATTTTAGTGTTTTGTTTTTAAATCATTTGCAAATATTCTTTTAAAACTTTTGCCACTTTGTCATTATGGGGTATTGTGTCTCGAATGTTGAGAAAACAAATGAATTTAATCCATTTTGAAATATGGCTGTAACATAACACAATGTGGGAAAAGTGAAGGGGTATGAATACTTTCCGGATGCACTGTAGATGTAGTGGAGTACAAGTACACCATGTACCTCTGAACTGTAGTGGAGTAGAAGTACACCATGTACCTCTGAACTGTAGAGGAGTAGAAGTACACCATGTACCTCTGAACTGTAGAGGAGTAGAAGTACACCATGTACCTCTGAACTGTAGAGGAGTAGAAGTACACCATGTACCTCTGAACTGTAGTGGAGTAGAAGAACACCATGTACCTCTGAACTGTAGTGGAGTAGAAGTACACAGTATCATAAAATGGAAATACTCAAGGAAAGTACAAGTACCTCTAAATAGTACTTGAGTAAAGTACTTGAGTAAATGTACTTAGTTACTTCTCACCACTGTTTAAATGATTAGATGAAATGGTTAACATGTAACCGTCCATCTCTTTCTTATGTTCCTGTTTTCAGGTTTCTTTAATCTCTCCTTTAAACTAGACTGAAGCCTCAATCTCTTTCTAATTTTACCCAATTTAAAACGTGAAGCGCTTTTATTCTGAAAGTCTCGGGCCGGATGTTCGTGGTTTAGCGTATACCGGAAGTGACCGTATTTTTTTTTTTTTTTTTTTTTTTTTTTTTATTGAACATTTTTTTAAACATACAAAAGCTCGGTGAGGATATCATCAACTTATCAACATAAGTTCAAGACATTCATTCACAATAAGACAAAAAAACATAACTAATACATCCAGTAAGAGCCAGGGGGAAAGAAAAAAGCATAAAGGCACAAAAACATTTAAGAGGCATTAAGCTTACTTAAAATAATAACCATTTGGAAATGTCATTGCAAATCTTTATAGACAGGTTACAAGATTGTATTTTTCTAAGGGACAGAAAAAAGGACTTGAACTCATTTATGAAACAGGGAAAGGAGGGCTTGCCTCCTCTCCATTTACTACAATGTAAATGGTATTTACCCAAAATAATAATTATATTTACCAAATCAGAAATGGGAGAGTCCAAATTATCAATATAATATAAAATGTGATATATTTTGAAGGCCGGAATATTTGTTAATTTAAGTAACAACCAATCTCTCACATTCGACCAAAACAATTCAGAAAAGGGGCAAGAGAAAAATAAATGTTCCAACGATTCATCAGATAAATTACAAAAGGAACATGGTTCCACTTCAAATTTAAATCTTGAATTTAAAAAAGTAGAAACCGGGTAGATTTTATGAACAATTTTAAAATGAGTTTCTTTTGCTTTAGGGGAAATAGGCCATTTTATAAAATCAGATAGAGCTTTTTCCATTACAGATAAAGTGTCTAAATCGGTCACTTGAGGAAATAAGCCTCTGTTAAAATTGTGAAAAATGTGGGATTTCAGGGAAGCATTAATAGATTTGTTATTCTTAAGAGTATCGCCAATAATTGAAGTGACCGTATTTCTCACTGTCACTACCCGATCCGTTCACCTGCCCGATCGGTACTGCGCATGTGCGAGATGGTCCGCCATATTGGACAACTCCGTACGGCAACCCAACTAGGACACTTGACACAGTGGCTTTTGGCAAAGCACACAAAAAAAACTCAAAAAACCGAGAGAGATGAGTTATTGTTATTACAACGTGACTTCACTATTATTTAACAACTATTTCTATTGGGTTCTTTTATTTGGGGTTAAGTACATTGTCAGAATAAGTGAGAAATGGATTTAACTTCTGTTAGACAGCTATCATACTGAATAAATATTTATGCAAAAACGTATGGCATTAATAATGTATATCTAATTACATTTAAAAATGTATGGCATTAATAATGTATATCTAATTACATTAACTGTGAATGTCTTTCATTTTATTTAAAATGAACAATTACATACAACATTTTCCATAAAAAAGTTGATTCAAGAACAAATCTCTGTTATTAGATCAGTACTTTTCTTATATGACTATTATTGCTAAATTTATACAGTCTATGGTAGTGACAGGCATGTTTAAAGTTGCGCATGCGCTATGAGCGCACATACGGGTACTTCTCAGGCATGCCGGGTAATCTGTGACGTTTCGCTCTCTCAAAAGTTGGGCCATTTTGTCATCATGCGCGATTGAGCAACTCTCATAGGAATGAATGAGGCCCCGCCTCCCACGCTGTATCCAGTTCTTATTATACATCCATGCTCAAACCGGTCAGCTGTCACAACTTAAATCGTCTCGTTGAGCTAACTGGTGCCCACCGACATAACGTTTAGTATCTCCGTTTTCTCTGCTTTCCGAGGCGGAATATCAACACAGCGGGAAGGATACACACCGACAGACACTACGGTAACTCCTATTTTACTCATTATTGATAATTAACTCGAGAATTGTGTTTAAAAGTGTCTCTTTAAACTCTAATAACTAGCTCGTAGCCCCTCTGGGAGCACAGAGGTCCAGGTGATGCTGTTGGAGCCTCTCAGGTTATTATGGGATGCACACAGAGTTGACCAGCAATCTCGTAGCCTACCTTGTGTTTAAGGTCCATGAAGAAATACAAAATAACCTGGAAGGAAACAGGAATGAAGACCAAAGAAAATCGCCTGGTAAAACTAGTTTTTTTTAACGAGGAGTTTTTGGTTTTTACACCTGGCAAAGCATACTTTCTTTTAATAAGCAATATATATCTTCTTTACCCCGTCACTACTTTTTACATGTTTTATTTGCAAAACTTGTTCTCTGTGTCCCGGCTAAATATAATGTACTTATTCCAGCTGTTATTAGATTTATGAGCGTATTCTAAAAGTCTTCCCAGACTCTTTATCCCATCATAAGAACATGTATATCCTGTTATCTGGACAACGTGTTATCTTTACTATATTCTTCTTTATCTCTGAAGTCAAACAGACAGCAGATCAAAGTTCTATGAGCTCATGGTCAATGTATAGATGAGAGTTAAGTAGAGCCACTAAACACTGATATACACCTGAACATCAGCAGGAGAGGACTCTTTAAAGTAGACACACTACATACTGATATACACCTGAACATCAGCAGGAGAGGACTCTTTAAAGTAGAGACACTACATACTGATATACACCTGAACATCAGCAGGAGAGGACTCTTTAAAGTAGAGACACTACATACTGATATACACCTGAACATCAGCAGGAGAGGACTCTTTAAAGTAGAGACACTACATACTGATACACACCTGAACATCAGCAGGAGAGGACTCTTTAAAGTAGAGACACTAAATACTGATATACACCTGAACATCAGCAGGAGAGGACTCTTTAAAGTAGAGACACTACATACTGATATGCACCTGAACATCAGCAGGAGAGGACTCTTTAAAGTAGACACACTACATACTGATATACACCTGAACATCAGCAGGAGAGGACTCTTTAAAGTAGAGACACTACATACTGATATACACCTGAACATCAGCAGGAGAGGACTCTTTAAAGTAGAGACACTACATACTGATATGCACCTGAACATCAGCAGGAGAGGACTCTTTAAATCACAAAGAAAACAGTTTTTATTGTAGTATTATATATCTTTATTGAACAAAGACCATGCATAAAAATACATTAATCGCAATCAAATGTGTATATTCACACTTTGACTTAATTGAACTATAATTACTATATTGTTTGTTAAATGTGAAGTGTCGTTACCTCTTGCTGCCACTAGGTGTCACCAAATTTAAACTTTTCTCAATTTTAAATGTGGTTTTTTTTGTGTTTTGTTTTTAAGGCATTACTCTGTTCCTAACATCCCGACCATAGAGAGAACTTTAAAGGTAACTAAATACATATGTTTTATTGAGTCAAAATATACATATACTGTCAGATTACACCCAAACACAGCAGGTAGAATTAATAACACGTTCAGAATCAGGTTTATTGCCTTATGGACTATATTGGACCAACACTGTCATCTTCTATATTACGAGGGTTTCCTCCTTCAGCCTAGCGCTCCTGTGCACTTTGGATTTGACTGTTTTTGTGTTTTCCTGTAACATTGTCACCCCAGTATACATTCATTTTTTAATTTTTATTATTATTACTATCTAACTACATTTTGTTGTTGCCTCAGATAGAGAATGGTAGAGGTTGGGGATCCCTACGATGTTCAGTGTTTTTTTATTTCTCATTCGTATCTACGCACCTTACTTGTCATGTCATGTCTGAGCTGTTGTGTTTTGTGTTGTATCTCAGGGTGAGGATGCTGCGGGTGGCGGTGGTCGGTGGAGGGGCGGCGGGTCTCTGTGCAGCGCGGCACATCCTGTCCAAAGGGAAACGCTTCGCCCCCCCCGTGTTGTTCGAGCTCACCGACAACATCGGGGGAACCTGGTGCTATGACGAGAGAATCATGTACGAGAACGGGAGGCCGGTTCACAGCAGCATGTACCGAGACCTACGGTAAATCAGTGCCTTCGTGTTAATGCAGACAGAAATAATGTGAATAAATGTAATAAATGTGTCCCTCTATATACAAGTAAATGGAATATGATATATTAGACAAATAATTTGCAAGATGCAAACAGATGAATGTTTATGGATGTTCTTTAAAAAGTTCAGGTGTTTAATAGTCTTATGGCCTGTGGAATGAAATGGTCTCTGAGTCTTCTTTTCAATATCTTCATTAAAATTGGTTTTATTTCCTTCACACGGTAACTTATTGATGCTAGTGGAACATGTTTACTGAAAACCAAAGTGGGCCGAGGATGCTTCCCTGAGGAACACCATGTTCAGGAAACTTCATAAAACACTCACGGTGCTGTTTAAATTTGAGTTTTACAGCCTCCTTCTCCTCCCGCAGGACGAATCTTCCCAAAGAGGTGATGATGTTTCCTGATTTCCCCTTCGACTCCGAGCTGAGCAGCTTTTTGCCGCACCACGAGGTCCAGAAATACCTGGAGAAATACTGCCAGAGCCACGGCATCCGGCCTCACATCCGCGTGAGTGCATCATTTAAAAACCCCAAATAAATACCCCTTAAAACCTGTTAGTATTTCATCTTAAGTTAGGTTTACAGTACTAAACTCTGCAGGCTTTATTAGTCTTAAAACTCTGAAATGAGTCGGCATAATGAGTCCTAAAACTCTGAAACGGGTCATAATATAGAGTCCTAAAACCCTGAATTGAGTCAGTGTTACGAGTTATAAAACCCTGAAGTGAGTCAGCATAATGAGTCATAAAACGCTGAAATTAGTCAGCATAATGAGTCATAAAACGCTGAAGTGAGTCAGCATAATGAGTCCTAATACCCCAACTTGAGTCAGCATAGTGAGTCCTAAAACCCTGAAATTAGTCAGCATAATGAGTCCTAAAACCCTGAAATGAGTCAGCATAATGAGTCCTAAAACCCTGAAGTGAGTCAGCATAATGAGTCCTAAAACCCTTAAGTGAGTCAGCATAATGAGTCCTAAAACCCTGAAGTGAGTCAGCATAATGAGTCCTAAAACCCTGAAGTGAGTCAGCATAATGAGTCCTAAAACCCTGAAATTAGTCTGCGTTACGAGTCATAAAACCCTAAAAAGAGTCGGCATAAAGTGGTGTTGATATGTGGAGATTATCCCGCTGAACTAAACGCATAAGAATCATAATTGTTTGTTTGGCACAGAGATTATTTTCCGACATAATCCAAATTCACAAAGCGAAATCCCATTGGACCAGAGAGATGTTGCCTTCAGGGACCAACAGAACCAGAGAGATGTTGCCTTCAGGGACCAACAGAACCAGGGAGATGTTGCCTTCAGGGACCAACAGAACCAGGGAGATGTTGCCTTCAGGGACCAACAGAACCAGGGAGATGCTGCCTTCAGGGACCAACACAGAAGCACCACATCCTACAGCTCTGTTTTAGCCTTGTGTTTATCGTCCTCTCTGTTGTTCTCCAGTTTAACACAGCGGTGGAGAAGGTGACGCCTGTTGTTTTGGCGTTGGAGGAAAACAATGAACAGACGACGTGGGAAGTGACGTCTTGTGATTCCTCCGGTCTTCAGAAAACAGAAACCTTCGACTCCATCTTCGTCTGCTCCGGGTGAGATGTGATGAAATCTGCATTTAACCCGTGGGCATCACTCTGGACTTTTTGGGCTTTTTAATTTGTAATTTTGACATGATTTGTTGCTGTTTATGCAGATAACTTACATTAACTAAGTGTATATCAGCTGCTATAATCAGTGTATAATGATAATGTGTGTATTCCCATTGAAAGCTGTTAAAATCAGAGTTGAATAAAATCCTTAAAATGTATTTATTTTTTTACAATTGTTCACTAGATTGAGACATTTTCTCATGTTTGCCCCACTAAGTAGACAGAACATAATTATATTGTTGTTTTTTATATATAAAAAGGACAATATATACATATAAACAAACATATTTGGTAGTTATGATTATGACTGAAGTTGGTTAAACTGTTTCAAACCATTTTTAGGATTATGTTGTCCTTTTTCTTATGTATTTCCATACTTCATTTAACGTATCACTTTATTATTTCTTAAATTGTTAAGTGTCTTTACCTCCTGCTGCCACTAGGTGTCGCCAAAGTTCAGTATTTTCTCATTTTAAGTGTGTTTTTTTGTGTTTTAACATTTGTTTTTGTTTGTTTTTAAGGCATTACTCTGTTCCTAACATCCCGACCATACCGGGGATGGAGAACTTTAAAGGTAACTTAATAAATATGGTTTATTAAATCGACATGTATTTATACATACTGTCAGATTCAACCCGATAGATTCAATAACACGTAGGTCATATTAAAATACAAATAAATGCAAGAAAACTCTTAAGATTCATTGGATTTTTGACTTATTAAAGTGTACTGTATATCTAAAGTGTAGATATATATATATATATCTACTGTTGATATATTTATATATACTTTTTAACTCATGTGTATTTCCTTATTAACCAGCTTATTAATAATTTTCCAATTCGGGTTCAATAAAGTATCTAAAATTTAAATTAATTCAATGAAAATACAACATTTCTGATGGCTATTTTTGGTGGAGCTATGCTAGCAATTTTCCCCTGCTTCCAGCCTTTGTGCTAAGCTAGGTTAACAGCTTCCCCCTGCTTCCAGCCTTTGTGCTAAGCTAGGCTAACAGCTTCCCCCTGCTTCCAGCCTTTGTGCTAAGCTAGGCTAACAGCTTCCCCCTGCTTCCAACTTTTTTAGCTGAGTTAGGCTAATATTTCCCCCCTTCTTCCAGTCTTTAAGCTAAGCTATGCTAATAATGTCCCTCTGCTTCCAGTCTTTAAGCTAAGCTATGCTAATAATGTCCCTCTGCTTCCAGTCTTTACGCTAAGCTATGCTAATAATGTCCCTCTTCTTCTAGTTTAAGCTAAGCTATGCTAATAATGTCCCTTTGCTTCCAGTGTTTATGCTAAGCTATGCTAATAATGTCCCTCTGCTTCCAGTCTTTAATAATAATAATAATAATAATACATGGAATTTTTATAGCGCTTTTCCTAATGCTCCAAGACGCTTTCTTTAAACTAAGCTATGCTAATAATGTCCCTCTGCTTCCAGTCTTCATGCTAAGCTATGCTAATAGTTTCCCCCTGCTTCCAGTCTTCATGCTAAGCTATGCTAACAGTCCTCTCTGAGCAGGACAGGTGCTCCACAGTCACTCTTACAGATCTGCTGAGTCGTTCTCTGGGAAGACCGTCATCGTTCTGGGAGCAAAAGCTTCAGGACTGGATATTTCCATGGAGCTGGCTAACGCTGGAGCCCAGGTAACAAAAACATTGAGTTCAGGTGACAAACTTTAGTGGATTAATGTGGAGATCATTATTATGATGTTTGTGAGGCGGTTTCTTAGATTCAGTAAAGAAATATTCCTCAGAAAAAAGGGTAAAAGAAAAGAATACCCAGAATATTTATTTGAATATAAACTAATCACTGCGTTTTTAAAGAATAAAACTTCTAACAGAACATTCTCCATGATTAGAAGTTAATGGATGCTCATGTTTAACAACCAAAACTGTCATTTATCCAGGTCTTATTTCAGTATTGCACAAATCAAACTAAGAATGCACTATTTAAAGTTCATCTGCAGAAATAGTATTTATTTTATATGTCCTAATATCTGACATTTCATATTTTACCATTAGCTTAATAGATAGGTAGATTAGTACTTTATTGATCCCAATGTGGAAAATGTCTGTGCAGCATAAAAAAACAAGGCAATGTACATAAGAGAAATGAAGACACTAGAAATAAACAATCCAAAATATTTCTAAAATAAAATAGCATTAAAAAGTTAGAAAAATAGAAACTGAATATTAAATATTTTCTTACCAATTGAAACAGAAGTTCTGGCAAAATATCACTCTCAAAATGGTGCAAATATTGAACAATAATGGCACTAAAATGGGACACAAATGGCCAATTCATGAAGACTTTTCTCTGGTTTGTTTTGTGTGCAGGTGCGTCTGAGTTTCTCCGGCCCTCCGCTCACCTTCCCTCTTCCTGACGGGATCCAGGAGGCCGGTTTAGTCGAGGCGGTCGAGAGAGACGGCAGCATTCGCTTCCAGGTCAGGAAATCTACCAGCAGCAGGAATAATAATGTGCACTTTAACCCAGTTTGTGAAGATCCAGGGATTCAGAGGGTCCTTAGGGTTAGGGTCTGAAACGGTCTAAAGATATCTTAAACAGTCTTTATTAATCATAAAGTCTTAGTTAGTCTTGATGATTATTAAGAATTCTTTAGAAAGTCTAAATGAGTTAAAATCCTACGAAGTCTTAAAAAGTCTCACATGTCTTTGAAAGTAATGAAGTCTTTAACCATGTTTTTTAAGTCTTAAACAGTCATATAATAAACCTTAAGTATTTGTAAGTAATTTCCTTTAAAGTATTAAAGTTGTAATCTGTTTTTTAATTCTTTAAAGGTCTTAACCAAGCTTAACAAATCTTTATAAGTCTTATTTAGTGTAAAAAAGTTCTTGAACAATCTTAAAAAGCCCTAATAAGTCTTCAATAAACCTTCATAAGACTTGAAAGGTGTTCTTAAGTCTTAAACATGTCTGAAACGGTCTTAAAATTCCACATACGTCTTAAACAGTCTTATACATTCTTAATAAACCTTAAAAAGTCAATTCCTTTCAAGAATAAAAGTCTTAAATCCGTTTTTTAAGTCTTAAAAGGTCTTCAATAAACCTTCAAAAGTCTTTCAAGGGGTTATTAAGTCTTAAACAGGTCTGAACGGGTCTTTAAAGAGTCTTAAACAGGTCTGAACGGGTCTTTAAAGAGTCTTAAACAGGTCTTGAGATTCCACATAAGTCTTAACAGATCTTAAGACGTTTCCATCCGTCATTACCAGTCTTAAAAGGTATTGAACATTAATGAAGACCCTTCCTGTTGCAGGATGGCTCCTCGGGCCCTGCAGACGTCCTGCTGTTCTGCACCGGATACGTCTTCAGCTTCCCGTACCTGGACGCCGCTCAGCTGAAGCTACAGATCCAGGATCAGCTGCTGGCGCCCCTGTACCGCCACATGATGCCCCCCAACTTCCCCTCGCTCTTCTTCATCGGCATGTGCAAACTCATCTGCCCCTTCCCCAACTTCCACTGCCAGGTAGGCCGACCCGACCAAAAAATAAGGAGGTTAAAGATACCTGAGAACCATTTCAGAAGTCTTAAACAGTCTAAGGAAGTCTGAGAAAGTCTTAAACCTTCTGAGAAAGTCTTAAACCTTCTGAGAAAGTCTTAAACCTTCTGAGAACGTCTTAAACTGTCTGAGAACGTCTTAAACCTTTTTAGAAAGTCTTAAACCTTCTAAGAAAGTCTTAAACCTAAGTTTTAAACGGTATAATTATCCAAAAGCTACCGGAGACTCAACTACCGGATAATAAGAGACAACAGCTGGGCGCCTTAAAAAGTCTCTATGTCTAAATAAGTCTTAAAATGTGTTAAAGGTTCTAATAAGTCTTTAAAAGTCTTAATAAGTCTTAAACAGTCCGAGAAAGTCTCAAACCGCCTTAAACCATCTGAGAAAGTCTTAAACAGTCTGAGAAAAAGTCCTTATAAGTATTTAAAAAGTCTTAAACTTTCTGAAACACAATTCTTAATCCTTCTTAAAAACTAAGTCTATAGCAGTCTTAAAACGTGTGACGCCTCGTTTGATCCACAGAGGTTGTTTTAGTCGATCCTAATGACTCCCTGTGGTGCGTTCAGGTGCAGTTCGCTCTGGCGGGTTGTTTTAGTCGATCCTAATGACTCCCTGTGGTGCGTTCAGGTGCAGTTCGCTCTGGCGGGTTGTTTTAGTCGATCCTAATGACTCCCTGTGGTGCGTTCAGGTGCAGTTCGCCCTGGCGGTGCTGGATGGCTCCGTCTCATTACCCTCGGCTGCTCTGATGGAGCAGGAGGTGCTGGAGGAGCTGCAGGAGAAGGAGCAGCGAGGCGTTCAGCAGCGCCACCTGATGGTGCTCCAGCAGCAGCAGTGGGATTACTGCTCGATGCTCGCTGACACCGCTCAGTTCCCCCCGCTGCCGCCTGCCGTCAGGAGTCTGTACGAGGAGGTGTGGAGGCAGCGCCGAGAACACCCCAAACACTACCGGAGAAACAACTACCGCCTGATCGCAGACGACCGCTGGGAGCTCGTTCACTGACCGAGACAATAGCTGATACCTTACCTTAGCTAAGGAGGTTTAAAACAGATGCAGATTAACAGTATTAATATATAATAACAGATGAATAACTACCGGTGACTCAACTACCGCCTGATCGCAGACGACCGCTGGGAACTCGTTTACTGACGGAGACAATAGCTGATACTTAAAACAGATGCAGATGAATAATATTAATATATAATAACAGATTCATATTAAAAAAACAAAAAATCTGAAAACTACCGGAGAAAGTGTTAAATCAGTTTTTTTAAGTCTTAAAAGGTCTTGAAAAGTCTTAACAAATCTTAATAGTCTCAAAAAGTGTGAGACTATGTTAAAAACTCTTAATAATTTCTAAAAAGTCTTTAACATTGTAATAAGTATTAAACTCTATAATTATCTAAAAGCTACCGGAGACTCAACTACCGGATAGTTAGAGACAACAGCTGGGAGTCTTAAAAAGTCTTTGAGACTAAATAAGACTTAAAATGTGTTAAAAGTCTTTAAAAGTTCTCATAAGTCTTTTGAATACGTAATAAGTCTTTAGAAGTATTTAAAAGTCCTCGTGAAAATCCTCATAATTCTTTTTAAATCTTTAAGTCTTTAAAATTCCTAATAAGTGTTAAATAAGTCTGAAAATGTCTTTGAAAAACTTTAGACTTTTTAAGAATTTCAAAGTCTTTAAAAAACGTAAAATATCAAAAGAAATCTGTTTTAGATATTTTCATTCTTAAACCCAAATAGTTTTTGTCTCTGACACGTGAAGAAAATGAAAAGTATAATAATGTTTATTGTTGTAACATTGGAATTAAAAAACGTACTGTAGGATCCTCGTGTTCATCGTCCAGGAGAAGATCGAAGAAAACCAGACGCTGTGAAATAAATATGCAAAAAGGAAATATTCAAAAAAGTGATTTAATTGGTTCTGAAACTAGAAATAACTGATTAAATAAACTCAAGAACTCTCACCTGAAGAGGACAGTTGAAGTCATCGTAGAATGTAACGTCAATAATGAAGACCACAACTCCCATGATGCAACACTACCTCACCTCTTTAGCAACAGAGATTCACTTTTAATTTTCCACTGAACTTTTCTAAGATGTTGTGTAACTTTGTTTTAATGCTTACTGATCACTGAATGTGTGAAATGATTAAATTAATTCATTAAAATAAAATGTCTTTTATGAATTATTTTGTGAGCAGCAGTCAATCTGATTCATATATAATCACCTTTATTTATTATTAAATCAATACTTTAATATTGAATTTTAAGATTTTAGATTTTACAATTTAATTTGTATTAAAAAAATATAAAAATGTTAAATTAATTATTTCATCAAGGATGTCTTTTGTAAATGTTTACTATTTAAAAAAAATACGTCGAGTGAATGTAAATATAAAATAAACAACCTGACCCTTTAAGAATCAACAATACATTTGTCATTGTATTCAACTATATTCATTTACACATTTCAGATTTCATTGCATAGCTTTTATTCCATATTACATTTTTATTAAAATAAATATTTGATATAACTATTTAAGTTACTTTTTACATATATTTAGTTTTAGGCCAATTTAAAAAAAGTATTTCCCCACACATCCATTTCCTGCAATGTGCAAAGACCTTTCCAAGATGACTTGTGTATATTTTTCATTAGTAATCTGTGTTTTGGTGTTAAAATATCCTGCAGTAAATGTTATAGAAATGAATGATTTATGAGGCGGGCCGGATCTTCACGTTAACCATGAACCAGAGAGCTGAGGTCAACAACTTTAATACACACATTTCAACACGAAAACACACACAGAAAACACGACCTGAGTTTAAACACATGGAGAGAGACGGGCTTACAACACGGACATATTATCACGTAACACTGAGTCAGGTCGACTAACACGGCAGAGGGTCAAAGGTCAGATGGCTTTAACCCTTTAACAGTTTCAGTTTACTTTGATTGCTACAGAGCCTTAATTGATTGAATTTTTTTTTTTAAACTGATAATGATTTGTGGTCTCAAAAATATATTCTGGGAGGTAAAACTAAAAGCAGTGCTAGAACATCTAGTGAATCAATAAGTATAATCATTACATTTTTCTCAGTTTAATTTGATTGTAAAGAAAGTCTTAAAGTCTTTAAAAGTCTTAGTAAATCTTTAAAAGTCCTAATAAGTCTTAAATAAATCTGACAAATTCTGTCTTAGAAATTATTAAAAAGTCTAAAGTCAGACGGCTTTAACCCTTTAACAGTTTCATTTACTTTGATTGCTACAGAGACTTAATTAATTAATAGAACATTTAAAAAAAAACTGATAATGATTTGTGTCTCAAAAATATAGATTTCTTCTGGGAGTAAAAAATAAAAGCAGTGCTAGATATAGAAGTATAATCCTTACATTTTTCTCAGTTTGATAAATAATCAATAAACTCAGTATCTTGTGGTTTTATATTATATTGTCAAATTTCTCTTGGGGGATTTTATTCATTTTAAATATACATTTATATTCTACACATTTCTTATCCACTCTGCTCCAAAGTCTCTCTTTGCTTTCCCACCACCTTGTATACTAGGATCATCGTTGAGGGCATTTCTTGACTAATTCAAAAGGTACAAATTACTAAATAAAACTTAAAAAAACACTTGTTAAAATGATAATTCTGTCATTTAGTGTTAAGAAGGAGTTCGTTGATTTAAACATGGATTAAAATTCGGACTTTTTCGAAGCACAAGCATAAAAAAAGAAAATCCCAACATTCTCCATGTTCCTAAGTCTCTCTTTCTTTTCCAACCACCTTGGATCCAGAATACAAGGTGGGATCATCGTTGAGGGCATTTCTTGACTAATTCAAAGGTACAAATTACTAAATAAAACATACAAAAACACTACATACAAAACAACTAAAAGCAGTGCTAAAACATGTTTTGATAAGTATAATCATTAGTTTTCTCAGTTCTCATATATAATCCATAAACTCAGTATCTTGTGGTTTTATATGATATTGTCATTTAATTGATTTGAATATACATGTCTATTCTTTCCGACTCACATTCCTTATCCACTCTGCTCTAAGTCTCTCTTTCCTTTCCAACCATCTTGTATTATGCAGTCATTTAGTGATAGGAGGGAATTCGTTAAAATGTGTCAATTTTCGGAGCACAAGCATTACAAAAAAGAAAATTCCCAACATTCCCGTCTTTCCCGTTACGTCACGAACAGTTTTAAGTCTCTAGAAAATTACTCTGGAGGACTTGGACTCGTTCTCCGCGACGACTCGCTCCACTTTCTCCCCTGCCTCCACGTCCTCCTCCCCCCCCGCCTCCGCCCTCTTTCTTCAGGATCTTCAGCGGCCACCAGGTGGCGCCGCCCCGATGATCCCGGCGCTCCGCTCGCTCCGCCGGCCAGCAGCAGGGGGCGCTGTTATCCCCCGTCAGGAAGTAGAGCAGCGCGTTGAGCCAGGCGTTGCAGGAAGCTAACGGCCGCGTCACCTTTAAGGCAAGGCAAGTTTATTTATAGAGCACCTTTCAACACAAGTCTATAGAGTGGTGCAGGAATGAGTCCTAAAACCCGGAAGTGAGTCAGCATTTTACCACTTCCTGTTCCCTCGTCTCAGAGCCAATGGGATTTTTGAACATGTTTTTGGAAAATATCTGGAAATAAGGTCTGTGGTTGAGACACATTGAAGAGACGGATCACGTTTTGTTCTCGGACATTAAATCCATCAGCAGTGACCCCACTGGTGATTTCTGAAGAGTTGACGTGTCTGAAAACAATGGTTGTTACCAAGTGGCTGAATAGGACTACAGAAGTCGTGGAGGACGTTGTACGTCATTACGCCGAACACGTAAACACTCCTCTAAGTTAGTTTGCCCTGTTCTGCTTGAAAGCAAGTACCTGCCTCCTGCAAACTGTTCAAACAAACGCTTCAACTTGTTCCATTTAGAATCTGTATGTTTGATATGGATCTGAAGTTGGCGTGACGTTGAAGTCGTGCTGCTGTACTCGCCTGTAGTTCCTTTATAGCATAACGTTAGCATTTTGCTTCTGGACATTAGATTTATGATTAGAAAATGATAAAAGTAGGGTAGACATGTGGAGATTATCCGGCTGAACAAAACGTGCATTTATCAAACAGGTTCGTTTTCCACAGACCTTATTTCTTACAATATTCCTAAATCCTCTGGAGAAGTCCCTTTGTTTTTTGTCGAGGGAAACAGCAGCTTCCTTCAGGGTCGAACTACAAAAATACGTCATCCCTGCACCATTTAGTGATAAAAGGGAATTTAAACATGGATTAAAATCCGTCACCTTGTAGCAGATGGAGACGGTCTTCATCAGCGTGCAGCCTCCGCGCCGCCGCAGCAGCAGGAACAGCGTCCGCGTCACGTGGAACGGCAGGAAGCACAGAGCGAACAGCAGGGTGATCGTCATGATGGTTCTGATGGACTTCCTCCTCCTCCGGATGTAGTGAGAGTACTGCGATCCGGAGATGGAGACGGACGTCCGCTCGCGCTCGCCCTCCGTCGCCCGGTCGTCCTCTCCGCCCTCCGTGGAGCCGGGGGGGGATCGGAGAGTCTGGAAAATGGTCTGGAGAGTAGACTTATTAGTACTTTTAAAGACTTATTAGGATTTTTAAAATATAATAAAACTAAGAACACTTTAAGGGCATGCTATGTAATAATAATGATATCACACATTTCAAAAAAATACATAGTCATAAAAAGTCACAAATTGTTATCAGTTTTTTTAAATGTTCAATTAATTAATTAATTAATTAATGAATGAAGGCTCTGTAGCAATCCAAGTAAACTGTTAAAGGATTAAACCCGTCTGACTTTAGACTTTGTAAGAATTTCTAAGACATTTTCAGAATTTGCCAGACATATTTAATAATAATAATAACTTTATTTGTATAGCACCTTTCATACAGGGGATTGCAGTTCAAAGTGCTTTACATCAGTAAGAAATAAGACATGAAATCAGAGTAAAACAAGCAGCAAGAGCATAAAGTGGGATAACATAATGAAACATAAAAACATGGGGAATAAAACACAGAGAATAATAGGGTCAAGTCAGTCAAATGCTTTGGGAAAGAGATAGGTTTTAAGCTGCCTTTTAAAAATGTCTAACGTATTGGCTTCTCTAATATTGTTGGGTAACGTGTTCCACAGGTTTGGGGCATAGTTTTTTTTTTATCTAAGACTTATCAAGACTTTTAAAGACGTATTAGGACTTTTAAAGACGTATTAGGACTTTTAAAATAAAACTTAGAAGACTTTAAGGGCATGCCCGTAAATAATATCACACATTTTCCAAAAATATATAGTCATAAAAAGCCATAAAATTACCAAAACGACTTGAGAGTAGCACCAGGCGATGATGAGGAAGGGCAGGAAGAAGCCCAGCAGGTGGAGGAAGATGCCGTACGGGACGTAGTCGGCGAACTCTTTGTCGATGGCGTCGTCCCAGCAGTTGGTGTATCCGCCCTCGTCTTCAGATGAATCTCCCGTGATGTTCCAGTCCTCCATCGACCCGCCGCCACGCCTCACGTATCCCGTCTGAGCGAACCTGAAGATGGGGCAGGTGAGGATGAAGACCACCACCCACACCAGGGCACAGGTGGCCTTCACCACCCGCTTACTCTCCAGAGTGATGGTCCGCATCGGGTGGCAGATCCCCAGGTACCTGAGGACCAGGGGAGAAGTTGTTGTGAAAATACTGAATGTCCTCTTCCAACATGAGAGTAACATGATAACAAAGGTATCCCAACTGTAGCTGTGAACATGACAGGATGTATGATTACCTAGAAGAGCATCAGGACTGTTTTAGGCATATGATAGCTATGTGATTAACATGATGATTCAGCCTCTATGGAGATAGACATATGACAAGCATGATCATTTCTGACGTGGAGCTAATCTGAAGTAAACATTGAATACTGCTTTCTATTCCTCCATCTTGTGACTGTGTAACTCCCTCTCTTGGATATCAGCATGTGAAGGACACTGTTCAGGAACTAGTTGATGCTCTGTATGTGATGACTACTTCCATTCTGGAGAGGATCACAAATACATGGATCCTGAGATTGAAGCTCAAGCCGGGGACCAGGGAGAGTTTTCTAAATAAGTCTTTAAAGTCTTAAACAGTCTGATTGAACCCTCAATAGCCGTACTTTCACCGTACTTTTCGCGTTTTAGTTCCGTGAGTACCCCTTATGTCGCGTTCACACCAAAAATCGTACTTAATCTCGGGTACTTTTATCCCCATTTTTAGAGCCAGCTCAGAGAGCGTACTTTTCTGTGGGTGAAAAGTGCTCCAAAAGTGCCCCAGTGCTGATTGGCTGGGCGAATTGCAAACCACGCCCGTACAACTCTGAAAATGTTGTGTGGAGACGCCATTGTTTTTCCTCGCTACAAAAACACAACGCTCCGTGCGTTGTGTTTGTTTTTGAAAGCAGTTATGGCAAGCATCAAGAAATGATGAGGAGGTGTCGGCGCTTCTGGAGATCTACGCCGAGGAGGCGACCCAGGGAATGCTACTGAAGCCAGTTCGGTAGCTTTCACTCGACCTGGGAATTGTGCACAGCCGGCTAAATATAAAGAAACTCAGGACTACAAACGGCGGATTCAGTGGCCAACGATGACTACCACGACGAAGGTAAAATCAACTACATGCACTGGGGTTTTAATCTGCACAATAATGGTCTCAGATGTACTTTTATTTGCTCAGTAGATCAAGCTAGCCATGCTAGCCATAATAGGCTAACACCGGCCCCGAGCTAGCTACATCTAGCTAGCTAGATATTCTCCACCGCTATGAAAACGTTTTGACTTGTGAATAACTGTGCAGTGTTTCTGTAATTTGCTTCACTAACTCATGGCACTAATCGTCTGTTTCAGGCGAGGATGGACAACTCTCGGGATTGGAAACAAGCGAGCTTTGCATTCTAGATCACAGTTCTTCTTCTTCGTCCTCCTTACCAGCAACCAAACGCAAAAGGTACACACACTGTAACTTTGTCTTGAAAGAACGTTACGCATCGAACTGATGTTCACAATCATGTTTATTTCATAATATTCATCATATTTTATGTTTAACTTGCCTCAACAACATTAAACAAAGTTCAAGCATACATGAAGCACTCTTCAAAAAGGAACAATCCTCCGTGTTTGAACCTCTTAAATCGCTGCATAGCCGATTTATTTGGACTGGATTATCCCAGAGGCCAAACATTCTTTATAACACAGTTTCAGATTTGTGAAACCTTAATTCTATTTGTGAAAATACAAAAAAGGGAGATTTCAGTGCTTTTTTTACATGTAGACCACATTAGACCACATTAGACCAGGTCCTGATCTAAAACCACTATACCTAGACTCATCAAATCTGGACTGGATTATCCCAGAGAGTCAAAAGATTCTTTAGAACACAGTTTCAGATTTGTGAAACCTTAATTCTATTTGTGAAAATACAAAAAACACATTCCTAGTATGTTGTAAAACTACATGGCGACTAAACAGATCTTGTATCTTGCTTATTTTCCCCTCTTAGGAAAGCGGACACGGGATGCGAATTTCTTTGACACCGCCCAGGCGTTGGAGGACCGGCGTGCCGTGGTGAATGAGTCGCTGCGTGGAGACCAGATGGTGCTGTTCACCAAGGCCCAGGAAACGGAGGACAAGATGCTCACCTCGATGGAGCGCCAGGCAGAAGTGTTCAAGCAGCAGATGGAGCGCCAGCAGCACCAGGATGAAGTGTGGGCGCTGCGCCATGAGGAAGCGTCGGCGCAGCGGCAGGATGAGCGACAAACTGCATTTAATAACAGTTTATTTGGTATAGTTTTTGTAAATACTGACACACGACACACAACGTTGCACTAAGGTGTGTATGCTGCTGAGAATATCCCTACACCTGGGACAGTTTATTTTATATTGTTATTACTGTTATGACTTTATTTTATATATAATGTTTACTGACATGTACAACTGACACTTTATTTACATTTAAAATTGTTCTATTTAATGTTATGTCTTGAGAGTGCAATAAAGAAAACCGACATGGCGATTAAGCTTATTTCTCCTGACACTTTATCTTTTGTGACCTGTGTAGCATCCTATACATCACATGTAAGTGATTATTCTGATACCATCATGTTTCATCGGTTATAAACTGGCAAAGCTTTATTTGTCATTTATTTATCATCAATGTTGCAACCTTGTGGGGGAATGGCAGGGGCACATACACAAATATGACAATTTATATAATTTTAAATATTATTTGACCTAAACTTTTAATTCCCCCCCATTTCACACAACACAACATGGAGTCCACTATGGGCCAAAACTAACATGTATGTTTGCATAGTGTTTATGGCAGACGGATGCAGTGGGTCTCAGGAAGATATATAATAAAGGTGGGTTTGCTGCTGAGACTCCCTACACCTGGGAGTTTATTTTATATTGTTATTACTGTTATTATATAGTACAACTGACACTTTATTTTATATTGACAATGTTTACTGACATGTACAACTGAGACTTTAGTTACATTTAAAATATTTCTATTTAATGTTATGTCTTGAGAGTGCAATAAAGAAAACCGACATGGCGATTAAACAGATCCTGTATCAGCCATCCTACGGTGAAACATGGCAATCATGTGTGCTTTCCGTCGGCCAATCCTTTTCCTAAAGCTTTTGAACTGCCTTTAATGCTGAAGAAACTTTGCGATTATAGCATTCGACGTGTGGCGGCTCCGGATTTTTGTCGGACGCCTAATAGGCTCAGGCTCTGGCCGCATTAACGAAGTTACAAAGCTGTATAACATGAGCACAAACAGCACAACTTCAGTCGACTCCATCTCCATCATGTCTGAGGTCGGAAGGTAAACAACAGACAGTATACGCGGGAAGTTTTTCTTCTTCTTTTTCTCTTGTTTTGTAGCGGATTGCAAACAACTTTAAGGTGCTTACCGCCACCTACTGTACTTGTAATCTTCCCTCAGGGAAAAGTACTCCGGTGTGAACGCGATCTGTACTAAGTGCCCTGGGGTTAAAAGCGCCAGGGCTCTTAGTGCCGGAACTAAGTACAGGAAAGTACTTGGTGTGAACGCGGCTCCAATAGGTCTTAAAAACTCTTAATAAGTCTTTAACCTGTTAACCCCTGAGCCTGTTTTCCAGGTCTCAGGCTCGAAAATGACATTCCCAGAACAAATGACATAACTTCACTTCTAAAAGGGGAAAATTAAAAATCTTTTTTCTCAAAGCAATGATAAACCTGTGAGTTGGATTTAGAAGAGTCAGAATCAATATAGATGTTTTTATTTTAAAGTAAATTCAGATTGAACATAGTAAAAAAATGTAAATGATAGTGTACGTCCAAAAAAAACAACATTACTTATAGTGAAAACTACCCTTGAATGATGGGTTAGGAGACTAAAAGCTTTAGGAATCCAAACTATAACATATAAGTACCCTGTATCAAGATTGATGCAAAACAAGTGAAGTTTGACCTTTTTAGAGAGATTTAGAAAAGAAAAACACTACTGGGGTCATTTGGGTGCTTTGCCATATCTCTAGAACCCATCGGTCGATTTTGGTGATTGACATTTGAACCGTTGGAGCCAATAGAATCGAGGGGAAGTTTCTAAATCCATCTAAACATTACCATTGAGGAGTGAGAGTGATGCGCACGCAGTTTGCCGAAAACCGGAAGCTCCGTTACACTCTCGTAGCTATGATAGCAGCTATATATGAAAACTACTCTTATTGACATAAATGTTATGATGGATTATCAGTAATCATTTCAAAGTGACACAGAGACATTGGATTAACCTTCAGCAGCGTTTATATGCGTTTCAATGCCATTGAACACAACTTTTGATCAGAAAACAGCAAAGGTAAGAAGTATTTGCCGTTTTGGCCCCGTAAAGTGAAGTTGTGTGTTGTCTGGTTTCGCCTTCGATCTACCTTGTTTGTGCAGATCCGATGAAGTATAAAATATTTCTACCGTGAGTTATGTGCTAAGCTAAGTTAGCACTCTTTCGCTTAGTGCTAATTCAGACGCTTGGCGTTAGAGTTGTGTTTCATTTCGGTAAAAATGGTTCATATCGTCAGGTAGCTGAGTTCCTTCCCGTTAAGTGGGTATGACACATTGATAGGTTGTTAAATGTTAAGAAGCCCTCAGACGCTGTTTCTTGCAAGATGTTGCGGGAGCTCCAGCCCCTAAAACTATTGTTAGTCTTTAAAGTCTTAAACAGTCTGGAAGAAGCCTCGATTTGTATTCTATAGTTTTCTTTCGGAATATCATATCATGCTAAAAAAATCCCATTTAAAAGGTTCCATCAGTTTTGTTTTTGGTAATTTTATGACTTTTTATAACTAAAAATGGAGATTCGCTGCTTTCCTGCCTGGCACAATAAATATACTCGTCAAAGCTACGCCTGAACTCTCCATCGCTACGCCGCGGTGTCCTACCTGTGCACGGAGATGCAGGTGAGGAAGAAGATGGAGCAGTACAGGTTGAAGTAGAACAGGAAGCGTACGAGGCGACACATGAAGTCTCCGAACACCCAGCGGTCCCTCAGGATGTAGCTGGCCACCAGGAAGGGCAGCGAGAGGCCGTACATCAGGTCTGTGGAGGCCAGGTTCACCATGTAGATCAGAGAGGTGTTCCAGCGCCTCCTGGTGCCGCACGACCGCAACAACACCACCGAGTTCAGGCTGAGGCTGAACACGAAGGTCAGAGAGTAGCACACCGGCAGGAACACGTACTTGTAGGACTCATCGATGCTGCAGGAGGGCGGCGCGAGGGAAGAGGCGTTCGATTGGTCGATTAGAGCCTCGATCGGCAACAACCCGACATCCGGAGTCACGTTAGAGATCTGGTTCGATAACATGGTGAAGGTTATTGGATCCGTTCCTCTTGGAGTTTTATCTGAGAATAAAGATAGTCGGAATCAAAACACAAACTCAAGTTCCATGTCTTGAGAATGATCCACTTTGATCTAACAAATCTATTCAAGTTTTGTTCTCTTACAGTACGTCTCTTAAGGTTATTAACGGGCAAGCAGAGTTACAATATGGACATTCACATGAACATTTCTGTGTTTCTGAGCCACATTCTTGCATCTCTCTGGTTAGAAACAGCTTTTAAACACAATGAATAGACGTCTGAATATCAAACTACTCGGTCTGTGGTTTTAATTTTTATTTTACTTTTATGTATGCACCACGACACCAAGTCAAATTCCTCATACGTGTCGACCTACCTGGAAATAAACCTGATTCTGATTCTGATTCTGAAACAAACTTAAGTTCCATTTCTTGTTAATTATCCACTTTAATCTAAGAGGGATATGCACGTTTTGTACAGTACAGTTACAACATGGACATTCACATGAACATGTTCTATGTTTCTGAGCCACATGTTTGCATCTCTCTGCTTTTAAACACAATGAATAGACGTCTGAATATCAAACTACGCAGTCTAGCTCTAAGTTGTTGTCTCGTAAATACCTCTTGGAGTTTTATCTGAGAATAAAAATAGTCGGCATAAAAGCACAAACTGAACTTCTATTTCTTGTGAATGATCCACTTTAATCTAAGAGGGATTTGCAAGTGTTGTCCTCTTGAATGTAATATGTTGATCTTACAGTACAGTAAGGTTATTAACGGGCGAGCAGAGTTACAATATGGAAATGTTCTGGGTTTCTGAGCCACATGCATCTCTCTGGTTTTAAACTCAATGAATAGACGTCTGAATATCAAACTTCTCGGTCTAGCTCTAAGTTGTTGTCTCATAAATACCTCTGGCGTCATCTCGTCTCCTGAGTCCTTTCCTTCCTTCCTCTCATCGATCTCCGTCTGTACTCGTCTTCGTCGTCTGACCCATGTCCAAAGCGTCTCTGAGGAAAGAAAACCCAGCAGTCATTAGTTTTGGAAAACCTTGTTCACTATGTACCGCCGGCGTTTTGCTGATGAAGAACATGTTTCACTCCGTTAGCCGCTCAATCATTAACGAAGCCTTCCGGAAACCTCTCGTTCACGTCTGTCAGCCTTTAAGGTCCCTTCAGCTGGGGGTGAATCACAGCTGTTTAAGAATGTGTGTTTCTTTATAAATGGCCTCGAACCGACAGTTAAAACACGTGTCGTGCATATTTATTCAAGTATCTCAGGGTAGGAACCAGACTGTTTACCCTCCAACAAAACCATATTGGACAGAGAGGATTGTGGGACATACAACAATACATTATTGGATTGCAGGAAAAGGACATGGACATTACATTTGGGTTACCTGAACATAGCCTGTATAAGAAATAGATTTAAGTCACTAAGACTTCATCCATTGGTTTGTAGAGTACGGTTTCTTGGCCTGGAGTTAAGAGCTTTGTCCGTCACCATCTCGTTTTTACAGTTCTGTCTCTACCAGAAACCCGATCTGCAGCTAGTTCCTGTTTATTGAACGACATTTTCAACAACAACATCCTAAAGAAAGGTAAATGGCTTCAGTCTCTTGTGGGAAATAGTGGATTTTTCCCATAAGAAGAACTTTAGAGCAGATCCCAAAGAAATGGAGGGGGATGCATAATTCTTCAGCGCTTTCCCAATGCCTTTCTAGGCTTTTGATTGGTTTGATCGTCTGATTGTCAGCCAGTTAACAGTAAAAGGAACTGGCCGGACTGTCAGGAAATTCCCCGGGTTGTTATAACTCATCAACATCTCAAGAGAGGGTCCTGGTGGCTCTCTGACTGTCCTTCTAGTTTCCTGATCAGAACAAAACCTTTAAAAACAGTTTACATAGAAAAACTAATAACATGCATCTAAATGAATTTGTCAGTCTGTAAAACACACAATCACAAAGTAATCACCATTTCCTTTGTTCAGACCTGGAAGCCATCTTGTGCCACTGCTCAAAGGGGGAGCACGCCTCCAAAGTACTCCTTATATGTGCCGTATGAGTAGGCGGAGTCTTGGACGTGATTGGTCCGGAAATGTGTGATTGTATGAGTGTCAATTAGGTTAAAAACTATCCGTTTTAAGCAGACCTTGTTGTTTTTGAAGGTACAATATTTATGTTGATGCAATTATGAATTTACTTAAGGATTTACTTTAGGATTTTATTAAATGTAGACAACAGTGTTTAATTTTGTATTTAACCCTTCACTCCGCTTTCAGAACCATGACCTGATTGGCCAGGTTGGATTGGGAAGGCGGGCAGTCTCCTATAAATGTGGTTGGGAAGAGAGGGGAGAGGGGCATTTGGTGTTTGTTCCTTGCTGGTGAACGCAGCACCAGGCATGCAGTTCTTGTTTCTGTGGAATAATGTGGAAGGCTAAGAATAAAACGCCTGTTTATTTTTGCAAGAAAACCCTCTCTCCATGTATCGTTCTTTCACCTGCACCTCACTTTGTAACAATTGGACTTTAATTTCCCAGAACAACACAACTGAAACTGGACCCAAACCTAAGAAACACAGATCCTGAGCAGATCATCCGTACATAAACAATAACAGATATTATTTATCTGCCTTCCTCAAGTCTACTACGAAGCCGGATTTTCGCTTAGCCGGCTGACTTCAGGGAAAACTCGGGCTTTCCGGTCCTACGACGCTGGTTCTCTTTTTAGCGGGCTAGATCTCCATGGTAACTTATGCTGAGCGGCTAACCTCCTCGGGAGGAGGTTAGGTGGCAGGCTAAGAGATCAACTCAGTGAAAGCACCGCCTGCTGACCAATCAGAGCTCCGTGTGCGGAGTTTAAAGCTATCAAGTCATATTACAGGATAGAGGAAATACAGAAAAATAGGTTAGGAAAATCCGGCTTCGTAGTACAGGCCTCTGCTGTCTTTTCCTTTTCTGTTTATTGATAATATGATGACATATTGACTCCTCACTGCTGGATTTAAGTCTCACTCTTGTACGAAATGTAAAAGTCTGTCTCCAGTTTGAAGCATTTGCATCACAATTATTTCTTACTGTAATTAATATCCTGAGATAGAGGATAACGTCTTGTTAGATATTGATACGTAAACTGGTCACAAACACCACCTCCTTCCTTCTGGACGTTCATTTCCCAGAACAACTGGACCCACATTTAGAATCACTGATCCTAAACAGATAGTCTGCACAAAAACAATAACAAACGTGTTTTTTCTGCCTTTTCCAAGTCCAGTTAGACCTGCTGTCTTCTCCTTTACTGTTTATTGAGAATATGATGGGACATGTCTACTAAAATGTGGACTCCTCACTTCCTCACTTCCTCATCTGTCCTGTACAAAAGTCTGTTTCCACTTCAAAGCATTAACATCACAATTATTTCTTACTGTAATGCATGTTACTAGATAGAGGATAAAGCCTTGATAGATTACCGATACGTAAACTGGTCACAGCCACCACCTCCTTCCTTCTGGACTTTAATTTCCCGGAACAACACGACTGAAACTGGATCCAAACACAGATCCTCAGCTGATAATCCGAACATAAAACAATAACAACGTCATTTGTCTTCTCATATTACCGGCTGTCTATTTTATTTTCTGTTCATTGAGAATATGATGCTGGATTTGTTCCTCTTTGGTTCGTCTGTCCTGTACGAGAGTCTCCAGTTTGAAGCATCACCAACATGTGAATAATAAAAGGTGTCAGACGTACCTTCCTCGTCCTCTTCCTCGTCCTCTTCCTCGCTGCAGTTTTGAAGTGTTTCTTCTCGAGGGTCTCGGTGTTCCTCTGACCTTCAGCTCTGTCTGTAAATAATTGATCAGCGTTCATTCAGTCAGAACCGCAGGAATGAAACCCAATCCAGGACTGCAGAGGATCTTTTAATAGCAGCAGCGAGGATTCACTTCAGAAACACGGTTCAAGGCCTCAGATTTATATTTAGAGACGACGGAAATATCTGACAAATTAAACTTAATCTGCTTTATCTTTATTTACCGATGGGTCGTTTGTGCATCCATTGGCTCGATGCTGAGGAATGTGACTTATAACTAGTTATTAAATTATATGAAATAAATAATTAATTAGGATATGAAAAAAAAAAAAAAAATGAAATAAATCCTGAAATAAATAAAAACAGACAATGTAGTCAGTATTATTAAATATACAAACAATTAAAATGGAAAGAAATGCATTTCAAAGAACTCAAAATATAGTTTTTAATAATAAAAGTAGTCCTCTGAAAGACTGTTGATTTACGTATTAAACTTTATTGTCTTGTTTTTACATTTATATTAACATTTATTTATTTATATTGATTGTCTTTCATTTATAGCCATATTAATGTTTTTGGTTTTTTTACCTGAATGTGATTTTAATTGTGTTAAATATTCCTGCTCACCAGATAATAAACAGCATCAGCTTTTACACGTTTAAAACACTTCATGATGAACCAACAACTCCTAAATATTGCATTCAGATGAAGTTAATAAAGGTTACGATCAACTGTGTACATTTACATTTATTAATAAAGGACAATTAACACAATATTCTGAATAAAGGAAATAAAACTCACCACCTGTCGGGAGCTGCTGCTCCGCGCTGTCATCTGGAGCTCTAATTAGAGAGAGCGTGTGTGTGTGTGTGTGTGTGTGTGTGTGTGTGTGTGTGTGTGTGTGTGTGTGTGTGTGTGTGTGTGTGTGTGTGTGTGTGTGTGTGTGTCAAAGACAAAGCACTGTGGTGTGTTTGAACATGTAAGTGTGTGTGATCAAACACAGCAACACAAACAGAGCACAGCTGTGAGTAAACACACACACTCTCTCACACACACACACACACACACACACACACACACACACACACACACACACACACACACACACACACACACACACACACACACACACACACACACACACACACACACACACACACACACACACACACTTATTAAATATCAAAACCTCTTTATGAGACTTCAGATTAATTTCCTCTAGGATTGTAATAATTCACGTTAAAGCTAATTTATTCAAGGCAAAAAAGTAAAAAAATGGAGGTAAAAAAATAATTAAAGTCAAAATTAAACGGGAAAAAAACTGGAATATTTTCTGTGAGAAAGCGAATAAAATGCAATAAAATAACTGTCACTAAGTCATGAAGAAATGTGGATTAAAAAGTCAAAATGTGCTGAAAAAGATAATTAAGAAAGTAGAAGTAGTGTTTTTTGGGCAATAAATATATATTGTTAAATCAAAACCAGTCTCTCCTGATTGATCCTCATTTGTTTTAACACTGACGCAATAAAGGAGACGCCAGAAAATATCTGTAACATCAAAATATATTTCTTAATGTTTCACGTACAAATACATTTGTTATTATTTGTATTTACATTTAAAATGCATCTCTAAATACTCTCAAAGTCACAATGAGATATAAAGATATCTTAAATCCTCCACCATCTGACGAAGTGAAGAACATTTCAATGTGACTCTAAATATAAAAATATCAACAACACATTTCATATTCAGCTCTTTATCTCACATTACACAATCAAATGAAATATTAAAATATACTTTATCTGTAAGGCACTGCAGGATTAAATTATCTAAATATCATTATACCGTGTAAAGAATATACCTTCACATCTTTGAAAGATAATAATAAACAAGGTTTCAATATTTAAACGTATAAGTGGATTATTCCCTTTTTATTCCTCACGAGTAAACAACAACAACAACAATGATGTAGTTTCTGACGTACCTGAAGTACAGAGTTCAAATAATAAACCATTACGGTACAATCACAAAATCCATCAGACACACGCGCGCACGCACGCACGCACGCACGCACGCACAGAAACACACCAACAGAAACACACCAACAGGAGGCCACACACACACACACACACACACAGGAGGCCACACACACACACACACACACACACACACACACACACACACACACACACACACACACACACAGAAACACACACACAGGAGGCCACACACACACACACACAGAAACACGCCAACAGGAGGCCACACACACACACACAGAAACACACACACACACAGAAACACACCAACAGGAGGCCACACACACACACACACACACAGGAGGCCACACACACACACACACACACACACACACACACACAGAAACACACACACAGGAGGCCACACACACACACACAGAAACACACACACAGGAGGCCACACACACACACACAGAAACACACACACAGGAGGCCACACACACACACACACACAGAAACACACACACAGAGAAACACACACACAGAAACATGCCAACAGGAGGCCACACTAGGGCTGTGCAATTAATCGTATTTTAATCTCGATTACGATTTTGGCTTGCAACGATTACGAAAACAATGTAATTGAAATAAAACGATTATTATTTTTATTAAAAAAAAAGAAAAAATGTTATTTTTAAAAAAAATTTATTGGTTTTTCAGTTTAATTATACTTAAAGTTCAGGGTAATCAACTGTTAAAAACATACTGTTCACATTTTTTTTTTCAATATATGGATGTTTTCAAAGTAAATGGATAATCGTTTTTAATAATCGTGATATCAATTATTGACCAAAATAATCGTGATTATGATTGTTGCCATAATCGCACAGCCCTAGGGCATACACACAGAAACACGCCAACAGGAGGCCATACACACACACACACACACACACACACACACACACACACACACACACACACACACACACACACCACACACACACACACACACACACACACACACACACACACACACACACACACACACACACACACACAGAAACACACCAACAGGAGGCCACACAGACACACACACACACACACACAGAAACACACCAACAGGAGGCCACACACACACACACACAGAAACACACACACAGGAGGCCACACGCACACACACACAGAAACACACACACAGGAGGCCACACACACACACACACACACACACAGAAACACACCAACAGGAGGCCACACACACACACAGAAACACACACACAGGAGGCCACACACACACACAGAAACACACCAACAGGAGGCCACACACACACACACACACACAGGAGGCCACACACACACACACACAAACAGAAACACACACATATGTTTTTTATCTTATATTATATATGTCGAAAATGTCAAAAATAAAAGCATATATCTTTTTGTTTGTTAAATGCATAATTATGTCTTTTAAATCTCTGCTAAAAACTCACCTCTTTGCTCTGGCTTCTAACACTAGTTGAACATTTTGACATTTCTACATGTTTTTATATGTTATAGTTATTGTGCTTATTATTGTTTTTTATAATTGTACTCCTATTGTGTTATTCTATATATGATGTGTTCCCTGCAAAGCACTTTGGTCAGCTGAGGTGGTTTTAAATGTGCTATATGAATAAATAAAGATTGATATTGAGATGTGAGGCGGAAAACAGACGGATATTCGAGACATGACGGAGGAGAAAATGGACTTAAAGGAGTGAAGGAGTGAAAACGCCAAGGACGACGTAGCTAGCTCGCATGCTAAGCTACACAAGTCAGAAAGCAAAACCCTGGAGGACAAATACCAGAATATAAAATCTTAAATCTGAGTTAAATAGCTCTTGTCTTGAGTGTAATGTTCCCTTATTATAATAACAAATAATAAACACGTTAAAATTAAATAAGATAAGTTAGAATCCCTTATTTGCACATACATGTATTAAATATGTTCGTCCTAATCCTTCTTCCACTAACATGGTGCAGATGTCAGGAGGGTTTGATTTCGGAGCGGTTCTGAATCTAACGGCGCATTATTTTCCCCTCTCGTTAGCATTTAGATATCGAGCATTTATCCGTGCACAGAAGCTCCTCCTCTTCCCTTCTGGACCTCTGCTCTAAATTCCCAAAACACAACCCAAACCTAGAAAGACAGGTCTGAAAACTCTCAGAGGTTAAAATCCAGACGCCGTTTGTCTTCCTGTTTTTCCAGCGTCGTGTTTGACTTAAATCTTTGTTCCTTCATTTCCTATCAACCTGCTGTCGGTTTCTAACGAGATATCGGATGTCACAGGAGTAGTAGTCGATACCAAAACTGTTAAAACACCACGATTCTCGACGTCACGGTAAAAAACTACGTTTCAAAAACTGCATCATGATGTAGCTCCGTTAGCTGCTAAATGCTGTCAGCTGGCTCTCCTGCAGATCTTAAACAAAATCCTTTGTTTCCCGTCAACCTGCTGTCGGTCACTAACGAGATATCGGGTCTCACAAAACCCACGAGTTTAATAGTCAATACCAAAACCGATGAAACACCACGATTCTCGACGTCACGGTAAAAAACTACGTTTCAAAAACTGCATTATGATGTAGCTCCGTTAGCTGCTAAATGCTAATGTAAGCTAACTCTCCTGTAGATTTCCTCACAGAGTTGTTGTTCTCAGTGAAGCATGATCAGGATAATTCAGAGTTTACAGCGTCTGAAACACATCTTCCCGGTTCTAAAGATAAACCAGTACCACATGTTTCAGAACCTTGGTTTGGACTTGGCTCTTCTCTAACTGCGGCTCATATTCGGCTCTGTGTCAGAGTCCGTTTCCTTCATGCTGTTAGTCCAAGAGTTCCTCCGCTCGTTCCTCTGAGGGTTTTTCAGAAGTTAAATACCTCCTACAGGTCCGTTATTGGCCGGGTGTCCTCGTAGAAGCTGGTTCTGGGTCAGGTGGTTCTGGGTCAGGTGAGGTCCTGGACGTCCAGCAGCATGGCGTCCTGCTTCGTCCTCAGCTGGTCTCGAACCAGCAGCAGAGAAACCAGCTGAGAGCTCAGAGCTGCAGAGGAAACAGGAAACAAAGGGTCAAAGTGAGAAACAAAGGGATGATGTGTTTCTTTTCTTTATATTCTGTATTTGGGGTCACATTATATTAAAAGTACAGTTTTGCAAATCATATCTCTTTAGAGACCCGAAAATGGCAAATTAAATACGGAATAAAATGTGTCAAATGAAATAAAAAACGAAAAACTACAATAGGGTTTTTTTGAAATCACAAATATCTACACATGTACACATGTACACGTGTATCTACTTAAACACACACACACACATATATATATATATATATATACAAACATGTACATACACATCAGCGTTACATTGGAGTTACATTGGAACAGGTACCTCCGCGCTCCAGCCAGTTACTGTGGGGTAAGGTGAGGCACAGATGAGCTCTGCCTCACTTCAGAATGCGTCACCCCACAGAAACTGGCTGGAAAGCGGGCCCTAAGCGCATGCCTGTTACCATCTCACTGTAGGTCACCAATGTAATGTTTGTAGATCCCTTTATTACATTTATCCTCGCCATCCATAGTCTCTAAATAACTTATTTCACGTATATATGATATTTAGGCTCGCTGCTCTCATCGTACAACGGCAATGAAAAATGCACCAGGGGAGGCAGCCATAACCTCTGCCGCACTGAAGGGGGCGCACGTGAGCCCACAGGTTCTTGTTGCTACTGTTATTCTACGCAGAGACGGTAGACGCAAACAACAAACTAGACTTTTGAAACTACAGGAAGATAAGGAGGACTTTTACAAAAAAGTAATAGAGATTGTTGTCCAGAAGGATAGCATGGACTTCATCTTCAAGTCAAGGTAAGACCACCATTGTAATGAACATGGGATCTTACTAAGAAAGAACAATCCAATATTTAGATTTTGGATATCCTTTTGTTGATCGGTCTGTTTAGAAAGAATCGAAGCATCCGACTAAAAAAGCTTTTGAAAATAACAGAATATTTAGATTAAGGTCAAAATATAATATTTGTAAATCTGACTCAGTGAGTCAGTGCCTCACCAGCCATGAACCTCACCGCACGTCACTGACACACTGAAGTGTGTGTGTGTGTGTGTGTGTGTGTGTGTGTGTGTGTGTGTGTGTGTGTGTGTGTGTGTGTGTGTACCGTGGACTTCCTGCTGTAGTTTGTCTCTCTCTCTCCTCAGCTGCGTCACAGAGCGCTGCTGCAGCTCCTGAAGCTCCAGATGTTTCCTCTCTGAAACACAGTTGCTGGACACACACTGACACACACACACACACACACACACACACACACACACACACACACACACACACACACACACACACACACACACACACACACACACACACACACACACACACACACACACACACACACACACACACACACACACACACACACACACACACACACACACACACACACACACACACACACACACAGGCCAATGTTAACATTCCTCCAGAAACGTTCTCTCTTTGTAAATATCTGGGGGCTTATATATATCGTCTGCATATAAACTAAGATTGTGAAAGATTTGAAAGGACGATCTTTACTGTTTGAAATGCAGAACAATAAAGAGAGACGGACGTTTAAAATGCATTTTCAATATTTAAAATCTGATCATGCACTGTGTCAGAAGTGGGAAGTAGTGGAGTACAAATACTTTGTTACTGTACTTAAGCACATGTTTCTGGTATCAGTACTTTACTCCACGACTTATTTTTCAGACGACTTTTTACTTTCTACTTTCTACTTCTTACATGTTGAACACAAATACCTGTACTTTCTACTTCTTACATGTTGAACACAAATACCTGTACTTTCTACTTCTTACATGTTGAACACAAATACCTGTACTTTCTACTTCTTACATGTTGAACACAAATACCTGTACTTTCTACTACTTCTCACATTTTGAACCCAAATACCTGTACTTTCTACTTCTTACATTTTGAACACAAATACCTGTACTTTCTACTTCTTACATGTTGAACACAAATACCTGTACTTTCTACTTCTTACATGTTGAACACAAATACCTGTACTTTCTACTTCTTACATGTTGAAACCCAAATACCTGTACTTTCTACTTGCTTACATGTTGGAAACACAAATACCTGTTACTTTTCTACTTCTTACATGTTTGAACCAAATACCTGTACTGTCTACTTCTTACATTTTGAACCCTAATACCTGCTACTTCCTACTACTTCGTACATGTTGAACCACAAATACCTGTACTTTCTACTTCTTACATGTTGAACACAAATACCTGTACTTTCGTCCTTCTCCCATTTTTAACACAATACCTGTACTTTCTACTTCTTACATGTTGAAACACAAAACCTGTTACTTTCTACTTCTTACATGTTGAACACAAATACCTGTACTTTCTACTTCTTACATGTTGAACACAAATACCTGTACTTTCTACGTCTTACATGTTGAACACAAATACCTGTACTTTCTACTTCTTACATGTTGAACACAAATACCTGTACTTTCTACTTCTTACATGTTGAACACAAATACCTGTACTTTCTACTTCTTACATGTTGAACTCAAATACCTGTACTTTCTACTTCTTACATGTTGAACACAAATACCTGTACTTTCTACTTCTTACATGTTGAACACAAATACCTGTACTTTCTACTTCTCACATATTCCAAACAGGCTGGTTCCTTTAGTTTGAATGTGTGTTTGGTGGCGTGATCATTATTATTTAGAGTCATTGCGTGCCTATTGATTTGAACACGATCCGTGTATCCATCATTTCCTGGTCTTCTCTAAAGAAGAGGGACCAATGAAAACGTTGTCATGTTGCCGTTGTTCAGCATGGAAACATTCATTAGCTAACAATGACATTATTGTTCTATTAATATAAAGGGAGGTCAGGTACTCTTTAAAACAGCTGCTAGTTATGGGTACTTTTTACTTAAAGGTGGGGTAGGTAAGTTTGAGAAACCGGCTCGAGATACACTTTTTGTTATATTCCATGGAATGCTCTTAACATCCCGATAGCAATGAATATCTTAAGTGCTTTGACAAAAAATCCATAAAAAAATGTCATCTGTGGAAGCCGTAATACTGTAAAAAGCACGACCAATCATTTTACCAATCAAACTTACCTACCCCCACCTTTAAAGGTAGGGTCGGTCATTTTTGAGAAACCGGCTCGAGATCGCTAGAATTTGAAAATACACAACGGGAGAAAATCTGCCACTTCCTTACAGAGCCCCTCCTCCAACACACACGAACGCGCACATGACCAATGAGGGCACGAGATAAGTTTGTGCACAGATGGAAGGCTGACAGGCAGGTAGGCCATCCAGTTATTTTAGCCGGGCCGGCTAAAATGATTGGTCGTGCTTTTTACAGTACTACGGCTTCCACACATGACATTTTTTTATGGATTTGTTGTCAAAGCATTTAAGATATTCATTGCTATCGGGATGTTAAGAGCATTCCATGGAATATAACAAAAAGTGTATCTGAAATAAATGACATACCCCACCTTTAAGTACATTTCTAAGCCCATACTTCTTTACTTTTACTTGAGTAAAGGATGTGTGTGACTCACCCCTCCCTCTCTCTGATTGGCCAGCAGCTCATCCCTCAGCCTCCTCAGCGCCGACACCACTTCCTGTTTCAATCCGGCGCCTCGGCATCCATTCTGCCCCGCTCCCTTTGAAACCTGACGGAAAGTGAAGGAAACTTTAGTTTAGTTACTGCAGCACAGAATACACAACCAAGGACGTCGAGATGAAAGTCATAATGAGAGGAATAATCCTTCCTATCCAACAGTGTGTTCGTGCTTCAGTTTGTAGCAGATCTGAAGAAATGCTGTCCACTTGTCCTGAGATATGAACTTACATAGAGGCAGAGGCAGACAGTTATTAAACCCCCAAAGCGGTAATGGGTACGATTTCTGCTTTAACGTATTATTAGGAAGTTTAAAACAATGCCAGATTTAGCCAAAAGTCTCATTTTGTAACTGTAGTCTGAAGCCGAGGTTTTACAGATGGCTTTAAAAGCTCTAATGAAAAAGCGTCACTGCAGACCAGCCTGATGTTCCTGCACATCTTTCAAATTGAGCGGCTGCTATTTTCTTGTGCAATCCCTAAAATATGTGTTATATAATCACCTCTTTCTCCTCGTCCTCCTCGCTGTCGCTGTTGTTGACGAAGCACAGCTGCAGGTTTTTGTGGTGCTGAAATCTGAAAACAGGAAACAAACAAGGACTAATATTATTATCTATTATCGTCATCCTCTATTATTATTATTATTATTATTATTATTATTATTATTATATATATATTTATATATTATAAATTAATTTCCATTTTTTTATTGAAATTGAAAATATTCTCCTAAATTTAAAAATGATTTTATTTATTCTTCTTTTTCTGTAGTTTTTGAAACTTCAAAATGTAGTTATGTTGAAATAAATTCACAAATGTATTATTATTATTATACATTTTAAGGAATGATAGAAAAAAATGTGAATAAAATCATAAAAACAAAGGTTATTAATAATAACAAAACAAGTTATTTCAAGTATTTAAACGTTAATATTACTTTTGTCTTCCAGGAAAACCTTGTAGAATAAATGAAAATAAAAATATGAATAAAAGAATAAAATATAAATAAATTAAAATATGTTGTTGTTGTTGTTGTGTTACCGTGACGACACGACAGCGACGCGGCACTTCCCTTAAGTCTTCCTCGTCTTCCTCCCAAAACGTCTCTCCACTCGCCCTCCTCCGGCCTCTGCAGGTAAACAACAATAACAACATTTAATTGATTTATTACAATATTAGGAAGAAAAATATGAAAAATGTTAAAAAAAATATTGTGAAATCATTCAATTTAGATGATATGTTTATTTAGTCTGTGTAAAATTAAATAAATACAGAATATTAATAATAAAACAAAACAAGAACACTACGAAAAACTACGAAGCTGGTTCAACCTAACCTGGATATGTTGGAGTTAGCCGGTTGGCCCAATCCAAAACATACGCGCTCTCGCTAAACTGTCCTACGACGCTGGTTATCAAGTGGATCGCTCAAGCCAGCCGTGTCCTATCTAGTTAGGTGCGCGTTCACATGAAAGGGGTGGTATTTGGAGCATTCGACCAATCTCAAACACGGACAAGCGTACTGACAGCGCAGCGTTATACTTCCTGAATGAAAAGTGAACTTTAATATTAGTCAAATATGAAGAAGTTAAACTTTAAACATCCATGACTTAAACACTTTATCCAGGATCAAAGCCACATAGCTGCACCTGCAAGGTGAATACAGCTGGTAACAGAAAAAGTGTTTGAATACGTACATTAACAGGTTTATGATATCACTGCCCCGTCCAAGACACGAGTGGATCTGACTTTAATTACATTTGACTCGAGTGTTTCGTCAACTTAATGTGTTGCTTAAAATAATACTTCTGCATACAGTATGTGACACTGTGAGTGTTGCACGGCCAGATACGGCTCAAGAAGCTGACTCAAATAAGGAAATATATGATACATTATGATGTGATATGATATGAATGATAATGGGACACATCTACGTCTGCACTCACAGTGCCGCGGACTGTACTTAATGTTACTCTGATCCGGTTACTTATGTTGTGGCAGATATTTAAGTAAGCTTTCTTAACGCTAATATTATAATAGTCAGATTGCTCTGAAGATGGGAGGGGATATTCTATTAATGTTCACGTTCACACAGTCAGTTGACCGGCCGTCTTTCCTGCAACGGCAGTTTTTCTGTATTTCCTCTATCCTGTAATATGAATTGATTGCTTTAAACTCCGCACACGGAGCTCTGATTGGTCAGCAGGCGGTGCTTTCACTGAGTTGATCTCTTAGCCTGCAACCTAACCTGCTCCGGAGCAGGTTTGCCGCTCAGCATAAGTTACCATGGAGATATAGCCCGCTAAAAAGAGAACCAGCGTCGTAGGACCGGAAAGCCCGAGATTTCCCTGAAGTTAGCCGGCTAAGCGAAAATCCAGCTTCGTAGTACAGGCCTCTGGGTTACTCAGGATAAACAACATAATAAGAGATTTAATGTAGAAAAAAGGAGGAAGAAGTGAATATTTATAAAGTTCTGTCCACTTTTAATATTTTATAATCATAGACGTAAAGTTAAAGATTCCCTCAAAACTATTTAATCACATTAAAATATTCAATATTAAAAATATCCTCCAAAAATGCGTCTTGTTTACATTGAACTCAAATCAGTTTTTCTCTGTCTGGCGAAACAGCTATAAAAACTACATTACCCATGATCCTCGGCTGCGCTTAATAGTGAATCAGAGCGATGGGGAATTCATGCTAAAACTTGCATGACGTTCCAGACATTTAATTTTCAACAACACGGACAGAAAGTCGTCTTTGGGGACACCGAGCATTGTGGGAAATGTAGTCTTTAGAGAATTAACACCACTAACCCCTAGATTCCACCGGGTCCGTCTGCGCCGCGTTGCGGTTTTGGTCCGGCCTCCTCCGGCGTCATACCCTACCAGGCGCGTTTCAGAAGCATTTCAGAAGCGGAGCGTCTTGCCTGCCGGCTCGCAGTTTTTGTTGATTTGGGCATATTTCCTGGACAGGCTACTTTGTACAGACAAAGTTAATAATAACTGTAATATTCCAGTTATAAACGACATGAATCAAAGATGTGTTGCTGTATTTTAGTGGTAAAAAAATGCATTCATCATCATAATTATGATATATATATAATTTACACAGTGCCTGTAAACCGGAGGAGAACGCTGGCATTTCTCCTCCTACTTGAAAGACTACGGAGGGATAGGGTCTGCAAAATTAGTTTGTGTGTGTGTATATATCTATATATATATGCTATATATGCTCTGAAAGTTCCACTTCCTGCCTGCCCGACCTTACGTTACGGCTGTGCCGCGACAAAAATAGGATTCGATCCTAATTTTAGAGGAGCCCTGCGCCGAGCCGCTTCTGGGACGCTTCTGGGACGCTTCTGAGCCGTAACGCGCCGCGTGTGGTGGAATAGCACCCATTGACTAGAGTGGCCGCGATCGCCGTGAGCACCGCGGCGCAGCCGTAACGCGCCCGTAACGCGCCCGTAACGCGCCCGTAACGCGCCCGTAACACGCCCGTAACGCGCCGCAGACGGACCCGGTGGAATCTAGGGGTAACAGAAACCTTGGCCGTTTCTCAATCGCGAGGATATTGGCTTCCAAGCCAATATTTCAAGGATGCTACGTCATCGAGTGCCGCCGAAGGACTGTTCCAATCTCCAGCATACTTGGAATTCCACCGAGGCCGCGTCCTTGGTTTGGGGGAAATTTCGAGGCTGCACATGGGTAGACTTCGCGTCCTTAAAATCCCCACAATGCTTTGCGCATGGACCAATTTCCCCAAATCTGTGGCGGAAGATGTAAGGCGGGGCCTCTCATATGACGCACACCTGCACACTTGCTAGCCTGTTCCACTCTTCATTTTCCGAATGCCAGGAAGTATTCTTGCCTTGCTTCTGAAGCAAGATGCTCGGCTTGGCTGTGCTACCAAGCAAGCATCCTCGCGATTGAGAAACGGCCCTTGACTCTTGGTCACTGACCTTTGACCTCTCGCTCCTCTCCTGCTGCTCCAGCTCTGCTATTCGCTGGCTCAAATCCTCCCAGTGCATGATGGGAAGTTCCTGGTGGTCTATGGATATTGCCGCGATGTGATGAAGATCTTCTCCTTCCTCCTCTTCCTCTTCTTCCTCCTCCTTCTCCTCCGCCGTCTCTTTCTCTCCCTCCATCCTCCTCTCTGGAAACGAGAACAAAAAAATCTTAATCGAGAACATAGTGACATCACTGTGTAACTCTCACGCTCCTATTGGCTAGCGCTCCAACACATTGTACATGATAGGCTAAGGGGCGGGACATCTCTATCCCATTCTGTTAGAACATAAAGTAAAATGCTATTTCACATAAAATAATGTAATACTTGTGTTATATAAACTAACCAGTGTGTAAATATTACTTTTATTTTTCTATTGTCAGAGATACTTTAATAAAGTCATTTTTAAAACAAACAAAAAAGCATAATAATCACTAGTTTCTTAGATTTTCAAGTGGCTATTTCTCTACTTGTTTCTTATATGTTAAGTCTGCCTTCCTGTTTGTTAACAGCTGCATTAACACACATCTCATATCTGGTCTCAAACTTCTTTAAACTTAAAAACAGGAGCTTTTTAAACTCTGGTTAAAGTGGTTAAACTCCCCCCGCATGTTGTTTACCAGGAGCGGGGAGTCTCGGAGGGTTTTCCCCGCCTCTCAGTCACATCCACTCGGCCTGGATCCCCCCGACATGTCGCTGTTTTTCTCCCCGGGAATAGCGTCCCTTCGCCGGCCTCGCTGCCTGGCGCTCACCGCTGCCTGGAAATATTCGCGGAGGTTTAATTTTAACATGAAATAAAAAGTGAGTTAAAGTTGTTTTAAAGAAGTTAAACTCCGTGTGAAGGAGGCCGGACCTTCTTCCTCTTCCTCCCCCTTCCTCCCCCTTCCTCCACCCCCTCTTTAACCTCTTCTCTCCCCGAGTGACGGAGCTTCAAATCAGGTAAGAAAACTGGGCAACACCGGGGAGTGGAGCCGGTATGGAAGACCATTGCTGCCAATATTATTTAAAAAAATAACTTGTTATGGCAAAAAAAGATGAAGTGTAAAAATATTGAATTAATTAATAATTGAAAAGTAGGTTTTATTTATTTTTATATTGACATAAAATCTCAAAATAAAGAGTAAAAAACTGATACTCTCAAAATTATGACTTAGTATGTAATCAGAATGACTTATAACAACTTAAGAAGTAAATACAAATAACTTAATATCTCAAAATATTGTCTAAATACCTCTATCTATATCAGAAGATAATGAGTTAAAATCTTAAAACGATGTCTTAATATCTTGAAATAATGACAATACATAGTTTTGTTGAATAAAGACTTAATGACAGGGACATTGTGTAATTTAAATGGATAAAATTCAGATAATTATTGAATATTCTGTGTTATTATCTCGACTCAAGTTCATACAGAAAGTTTTTTTTTGTGTCCTTTAAGAAAATCACAGAAACTTCTTCATGATTAAAATCATTTCTGAAAATAATGTTTATTTTTTATTATTTGTCTCCGTGTTAGTTTGTGTCTGTGTGTTTTAGTGAATAGGCAGTGAAGGGTTAACGGAGACTTGGTGTCCAGTTTCACAATTTTTTGGAGATGACGATTCAAAGCAGATGGAGGATTTTGAGATTCTGGAGAACAGCAGTTTAGGGTTTAGTGTCAACAACAAAGAACTCCTTTAAAATACAAATATAACACTATAGGAGACAGTGTGTGCTACTTTAAGTTGAGTCATGTAGGTATAATCAAAACAATTTCTGAAGTGTGTGTGTGTGTGTGTGTGTGTGTGTGTGTGTGTGTGTGTGTGTGTGTGTGTGTGTGTGTGTGTGTGTGTTCATGTAACTTTAAAAAAATGTAACTTTAAAACTAAAACCTAATCATTATTTTGGAAAACTCTTGATTTGAGAAGTGAAACATTGTTTATATAAGTATTTTTACTTTTTTGTCAACAAAATGTTTGCAAATAAAAAATGTCTGTCAATCGTTTAATAGAAAATTGGATTTAATTTGACTGAAACTGTTTTTTTAGGACAAATTCCTTCTATAACACAGGCCGATTAAGTTCATTTTAATTAATCTTTAACTGGTTATTATCCCACAGCTTCCATAATGCTTTTTCATACAATTTATACAAAAAAGTGCTTTGTAAAATATGAATTAATCACATCCAACTTTCTTTCTATCGCACATTTAAAACCAACAGAGTGCTGTACTTCAATAAATAAACAAACAAATAGGACATAAACAAATGTAAACACAGGACAATAAAACCAAAGCCACCGACTGTAAACTCAAATAAACACAATATGAACCCTTATTTAAAAGCACTGACATGTCTATGAATAAGGGGGTAAACAGTAAATATAACATGTATTTATTTAAAAATAGTTGATTTATATATTAACAATTGTCTCTTATGATAACACTTGTTTTTAATGCGACACAACCTAATGATAAAATAAACTCATTACTTGTATTAATTATTGGTTTGTAAATCATTTTCCAGTGTTTAATAATTGGTTTCTGGTCCATCTGTCATGATTAATAATATAATATAATGAATAATAATAGATGGTATAGAATAATAAACACTACAACATGTTTAGAAATGATTTAATTACATAGAGGTATGATAACTTCACCAGTAAATATATTAGGCTTCTTATTAAATGTTATAAATAAAAGTTAATACTCCACAAACTTAGGGACAGTTTTATTCCACAGGCCATGAGACTATTAAACACCTGAACTCTTTAAAGAACATCCATAACATTCATCTGTTTGTCATCTTGCTAATTATTTACCTAATATATCATATTCCATGTACTTGTATCTAGACTCTTCTTGCAATATTTATATTATATTTGTATTTATTTGCACATCTCAAAACATTCTCTTGCACTATTTTATCTGTTTTACGTCCTATATATATATTCATGTTGCTCTGTTGGAGGACTTCAGTTTTTCCTTGACATATCTACACTGTAGCTGCTGAGCTCATGATGATAGAGACTTGAATCTTGAATCTAAATAAAGTAAACGCTGTTCTATGCGCTGCAGTACCAGGTGTGCCCGGCGGGCGTCGCTGTTTCCACAGTAGCAGAACTACCTCTATGTTGTGAAGGACTATGTTGTGAAAACCTTTAAAGTGTTGATAATCCGGGTTTTGGGGGCTTTTTTCTCGGTTGTTTTTCGGGGGGATCGCGAGACCCACTCTCCCGGAGGACTGCTGCCCGGCTCAGGCTGCGTGTTTTCGGGCAGCTGCTGAGGGGTTTTCTGGAGGGTTTCTTTTTTTTTTTTTACAAGTTAGCTCCACAGCTAAGTCACGTCAGCTGTGCGGCTGGAAGTGTCAGCGCGGACTCCTTAATGCGTTTTAAATACTTTTTCTACATGAAACTGGGAGAGGAGTAAGTGTGTTTTCCTGCGGGAGAAAAGGCTCGGTGATCCGGACTCTGGGTCTGCGGACTGAGAGGCCTGCGGGTCGGGCTCCATCCACCGGGCTTGAGTTGAGCTCCGACGCCGCCTCAGAGGGCTCGGAGGCCGGCAGAAGAAACTGCCTCCGCCGGGGCCTGCGGAGCGAGGTTTCTCTTTTTTTTCCTCAACTTTATTTAACTGTTTTTTTCAAATGCATCAGAAAAACCTACGGAAGAGTGTTAGGGCCATATGAGGAAACATGTTGTGGGATGTGAACAGAAGTTGAAGTTGAGTTTTTGCATAGTTTTGGGGGGGGGGTTAGAAAAGTGATTTAAAAAAAAATTATAATCTTAGAATTGTATTTATTTTTCTCAGAGACTTGTAGAGAAAATATTTTTAAAATATATTGTATTTTTCTGTGATCATCTCAGAAATCTGACAGGAAAAATAACTCAACCTCAACTTTATTGAACAATGTTTCAAATGCATCAGAAAAAGACACATCTACGGAAGAGTGTTAGGGACATATGAGAAAACTGTTTTGGGACAAAAAGTTAAAGAAATAAGTTGAGATCTGACTTTAATCTTAGAATTCTGGGGAAACAGTCAGGGTTCTGAGATTTTCAGAAAAAATATGTTTTGATTTTTGTGAATTTGATTTTAGTTTTTTCATAATTTCTTTTGGAGAAAGTAAGAAAAGTGATAAAAAAAATAAAAACAATCTTAAGAGTATTTTTTTTTCTTCTCAGAATTCAGAAATGTTGGGAAACAATATGAATAATAATATAAAAAATATATATTTTAGTTTTTCAGATCTGGTTTTTTTGTGTAATTAAAGTCATTATTCACAATTTCTTTTTTTTTATACTTTTGGTAACATCCCAAAAAATGTTGACGACTGACTTAAATCTCTGAATAACAACAACATAAAATCACCTCTATATATTTTGTATCACATGTTGCCCTAATCCTCTTCACATCACATCAGAGTTCATTAAATTAATTCCAACTGAAGGCATTATGAACAAAAAACTGAGTAGAGTTCCATGTCATTCAAAAAACATTAATTCTGGAGGCATTTTGACGAAGCGACATTTGTGGATGAAATATTTTAAGCTTAAAGGGGACCTATCATGCAAAATGCACTTTTGTACGTCTTTTATACATGAATATGTGTCTCCGGTGTTCCAGGGAACTCACCAAGTGTCAGAAAACACAACCCTCTCTATTTTCCTCCATACCCAAATCTCTAAAAAAGGGGCTGCAACGGATCTGATCAAAACTGATCCAGATTTGAACACTGTCCTGACGTCAGGACGGTGGCGCTACGGCTATTGGGCCAACTCCACCAATCAGGAGGAGACAGCCACGGCCATTGCCGTTCGAAAGCGCTGGAGACGCTGTAGTACATATGCCAGGCCTGTAGGTGGTGCTGTTCTCACAGAATCAGCCCTTGCAAAAACAGGGGTAAAAAAGTGCAATTTGAGCGAAATGAGGCATGGATGAGGCATGGCTAGAATGCATGATCTGTTTGGTATTTTGAAAAAAAAAAAGTATAAATATGCCTTATATAGGTATGGTCCTACACTATATTATTATAATATAGCATGATAGGTCCACTTTAAATAAACAAATGACTAATTCCACATCTTTTTTTTTCATATTAAAGGGATGGAGCGGATGGAAGTGGACCAGTGCGCAGGCGCAGCTGGCGGGGCTTTGCGCAGGTCGAACAGCGCCCCCATGATCACCAGTGTCAGGTCGGTGGTACTGCTTACAGAGAGCCACTCGACACATATATGTTTAAAAAGTAATGTAAGGTCAAATAAATGATATTGTAAGTTGTTTTAAAGAGAAAAATTCCAATAAAATTGTTTTTTGCAAAAGAAAACGATTTATTGTCTCAAAAATAATCCTGTAATAAGATAAAATAAGATAAGAAGTACTTTATTGATCCCAATTTTGGAAATGTTTGCGTTTGAAGCAGCATAAAAAGATGGTGCATGGTTGTAGATATCTTTCTGTATATTTGATTGTGTGTCTCTCTCTATGTTATTATAAATCTGTATTCATGTTTTTCTCAGTGACGGGATGACGGTGTTCAGCCCGGTTTCGTCGGCTCGGTATCGACGCAGCAGCGTTTCAATAAACCCCAGCTCACAGGTCAGAGTTACTGTAATAACCTTTATATATTATATTATATATTATATTATATTATTATATTATAGTTGAGTGTCTGTTTGTCCTGCAGCTCGTCCCTCTCTCTCCGTTCTCTCTGACCGGAGACAGACTCGACCTCAAGAGGCAGGTGAGGAGTCCACTCTTCTTCTACTCTTTTAAATATGATGCTGGGACTAATCTCTAATTAACACAATTTAAATGAAATTCCCACTCACCTGTGCAGTGATCTATTAAAGATAATTGACGTTCCTCATCCCTATAAGGGCCGGAGCACCTATGACTCGCGCATTCATGCACGGTTGTTGCACGACCACCAAAACAGAAACATATGGACATAGTTTACGATATAAAAAGTGTGCAAATGTATTGAGTATCCTATCCATGTGAACATGTTTTAAGTGTTACAGTTAAGTTAAAAGCATCAATCTGGTGCACTTTGAGAGCAACATGAAGAGATCTATGGATCCATCTCTCTCAACACCCATATGAAACAGAACTGAATACAGATGTACTTTTTCTTTAATCATAATTTACAAATCACTGTATTCTTGTTTTACTGTCATATAGTATTTCATACCTGTTTTTAATCATTTATTCCCTTATTAAAGGTGTTCCTCGGAAATACTTGTTTACATAATTCGTGACCAAACCGTTTGAGACCCACTGAGATAACTTAGACTAAAGTTAACTGTCTAAACACTCAGAGTCCTTTACCTCACTGAGCTGTAGTTATCTGAGCCTCTCAGTCTGAGCTGTGGTTATCAGAGCCTCTCAGTCTGAGCTGTGGTTATCAGAGCCTCTCAGTCTGAGCTGTAGTTATCTCTCTCAGTCTGAGCTGTGGTTATCAGAGCCTCTCAGTCTGAGCTGTAGTTATCAGAGCCTCTCAGGCTGAGCTGTGGTTATCAGAGCCTCTCAGGCTGAGCTGTGGTTATCAGAGCCTCTCAGTCTGAGCTGTGGTTATCTCTCTCAGTCTGAGCTGTGGTTATCAGAGCCTCTCAGTCTGAGCTGTGGTTATCAGAGCCTCTCAGTCTGAGCTGTGGTTATCAGAGCCTCTCAGTCTGAGCTGTAGTTATCTCTCTCAGTCTGAGCTGTGGTTATCAGAGTCTCTCAGTCTGAGCTGTAGTTATCTCTCTCAGTCTGAGCTGTGGTTATCAGAGTCTCTCAGTCTGAGCTGTAGTTATCTCTCTCAGTCTGAGCTGTAGTTATCAGAGCCTCTGTCTGAGCTGTGGTTATCAGAGCCTCTCAGTCTGAGCTGTAGTTATCAGAGCCTCTCAGTCTGAGCTGTGGTTATCAGAGCCTCTCAGTCTGAGCTGTGGTTATCAGAGCCTCTCAGTCTGAGCTGTAGTTATCTCTCTCAGTCTGAGCTGTAGTTATCTCTCTCAGTCTGAGCTGCAGTTATCAGAGCCTCTCAGTCTGAGCTGTTGTTATCTTTCTCAGTCTGAGCTGTGGTTATCAGAGCCTCTCAGTCTGAGCTGTAGTTATCAGAGCCTCTCAGTCTGAGCTGTGGTTATCAGAGCCTCTCAGTCTGAGCTGTAGTTATCTCTCTCAGTCTGAGCTGCAGTTATCAGAGCCTCTCAGTCTGAGCTGTAGTTATCTCTCTCAGTCTGAGCTGTGGTTATCAGAGTCTCTCAGTCTGAGCTGTAGTTATCTCTCTCAGTCTGAGCTGTAGTTATCAGAGCCTCTCAGTCTGAGCTGTGGTTATCAGAGCCTCTCAGTCTGAGCTGTAGTTATCTCTCTCAGTCTGAGCTGTAGTTATCTCTCTCAGTCTGAGCTGCAGTTATCAGAGCCTCTCAGTCTGAGCTGTTGTTATCTTTCTCAGTCTGAGCTGTGGTTATCAGAGCCTCTCAGTCTGAGCTGTAGTTATCTCTCTCAATCTGAGCTGTAGTTATCAGAGCCTCTCAGTCTGAGCTGTGGTTATCAGAGCCTCTCAGTCTGAGCTGTAGTTATCTCTCTCAGTCTGAGCTGTAGTTATCTCTCTCAGTCTGAGCTGCAGTTATCAGAGCCTCTCAGTCTGAGCTGTAGTTATCTTTCTCAGTCTGAGCTGTAGTTATCAGAGCCTCTCAGTCTGAGCTGCAGTTATCAGAGCCTCTCAGTCTGAGCTGTAGTTATCTTTCTCAGTCTGACAGGAGAGAGCTCTCCTCCACCTTGTTGTAGAAACAGCAATTATTAACAGTAACAGCTGTTTGTGTTTCTGCAGGAGGAGAACATGGAGGCGGCGCTCAGAGGAAGTCTGCAGAGACGGAGGTAACACAGTCGGATATTTACATTTTAAATGAACCTTAAAAAACTTTATTTAATTACCATCTTCTCTCCCAGTGCTTCCAGTCTGATCCCAGCTCCCGTCAGTCAGTGGCACGACCACGCCTCAGTGGTGAGCGTTTACTTTCATTTACACACACTCACAGTAAAACCACACGTCCAATAGATAGCCAATAGAAGCGCGAGCGGAAGTAAAAGTAAACAAAGGAATCCAATGGAGGCGTTTTCTTTGATAATCTGTTTCATATCAAACCATTACTTGTATTGTGACTGAAATATATATAATAAAATGTATTACAATATCTTCTCCGGACATTAAAGACTGAATCCAGATCAGAAACTGAACACTAAATATATTCGAGGTTTCTGAGCGCTCTTATTGTTTATCTAAGACTGAATCCAGATCAGATGATTTTTAATAAATATAATATTAGAAGATAAGACTGTTTTTGACTTTTTCTTCTTCAGTGGTTCCAGTCGCAGGACAGCGGCGTCACGCCAAACTCCTCCCCTTCTCCCACCAGGAGGTTCAGGTACACACACACACACACACACACACACACACACACACACACACACACACACACACACACACACACACACACACCACACACACACACACACACACACACACACACACACACACACACACACACACACACACACACACTCCGTTTTTTTAGTGGACGCTTACATTTGTGTGTATTCTCCAACAGACCAGCAGTCAGTGCTACTGTGAGAGTCCCGGCACTAACTCCACTCAAGAGGAAAGGTAAGTTTGTGTGTGTGTGTCTGTCTGTTTTACATCACATTATCTGTTGATATGTGGAACTTTTTAGTTGCTTAGTTACATTCAATATTCTCTCTTCTTGCTCTGTGTTTGGTTTCTTAGAGACAGACACTATACATTGTTACAGTTAAAACCAAAACAAAGACTTAAAAGACCCTAAAATGCTGTGTAGGGCAACTGAGATTTGATTGAAGGACGTTGGGAGAGTCGACACAGTCACGTGATTTTGTCTGAACTCACCTTAAGCGTGCTTCTCCCCTCTTGAAGTATTAGATATTTTATATATTTGTAAACCTGGTTGTTTCTCAGGAGGAGTCGAGTCTGACGGACCCCCGAAGAAGCTTTTTGTCGCCGGAGTATCGGACCCCCCCCACCGCAGCAGCTACACCGTCAGGTGAGGGTCCTCAGACACAATGTTAGCATTAGTTTAGCCAAATATAAATACATGAGACCACGCCCACTTACTTACATGGTTACAGCAAAGAGACAGTACTGATACAGACCCAATTAAACCAGTATTTAATAAAGTGATTTTTGTGTATATTCGTGTGAAATAATGATGTTTTACCCGCCTCTCTTCCTCCCACAGTGTCTCTCAGTCGTCGGTCGACTCCCCCACTGCAGTCAGTCCTCAGTCCAGCCCTCTGTCTCTCTCTCCTCCCCCTTCCTTCACCCCCTTCACCTCCCATCACCACCCAGGACACTAAACCACCCCATAATCCTCACCCAAAGTCCTGACCAGCAGCTCCAAAACACCCGGAGGAACATCGACTCCCCATCGCACCTTATTCCTGTAAGTCCCGCCTCTTCCTGCGACGACAGGAAGTACAGATCAGCCTGGTTTATGACTTCATTGGAAGTGTCTGTTTTGGATCCCTGGATGTTTTTCCTACAGCTCTGAAGCATCAGACTTTCTTTAGGTCGCCAACTGTTCCTATTGGTTGGTTTTTAACCCAAATCCCTGAGTCCACGTTGGACTGAAGGACTTCCTCGTGAGGTTCGTCGTACGTCTGAAGGCTCGTAGGTCGAACCTCAAATGATAAATATTGTACAAAGGATTCATCATCAGCAACAGCATCGGGAGATCACGGAAGAAAACTGTTTGGGAGTCTTGAGGACACACGGGTTGTGTCTTAACGAGATTCTGATTTGAGAAGTTTAAGTTTTATGAAGCGTTCAAGAAACAACCAAGCACACAAACGTCTCAAAAACGGCAGATTTCAAAGGAGTTTTAGAGGTTAAAATCATATGTCTGTGTTGGTCCCTGAAGGCAGCAATCTCCCTGGTCCAATGGGATATCTCCATGTGATTTTGGATTATGATTTTTAGCCCAGAAAACCATAGAGCTCCAGACTAGGGGACAGGAAGTGAGGAAATGCTGACTCATTCCTGCAGCTCAGGTCCAATTTTCCAGTGGATGAAGCTCCAGATCGTCTTTATTCTTCAGAGGTTTTGAAGAACTTTTAATAAGGTCTTTAGATGTAATCAAGACAAAATCAAACCGGTGACGAGGAATGTTTTCGAGGCTCTTCAGGAACATTTGGTTCAGCCGGTTCTCAGCTTTTGGTCCTGGAGTCGTTGGAAATCAAGTCCGTTATCAGGAAGAAGTAGAAGTCCTCTGGTTTATTTGGTCTTGAAGTTGAAAGTCTGATGGATCTGGACTTTATCAGCACTTAAACCAATCAGTGAACCAGGGTTACGCACTTTTTGTGCATCGTAAAACTACCATAAGGTTTCAAGGAGTTTATATGTAGCTGAAGATGAAGAATTTAGCGTCTTTCATCAACAAAACAAATAACTAAACCTCCAAAAAGCCGAATATCCAATAAAGCAAAGTAAAAGGTATCTTATTCCCAACTAGGGATGTCACGATAAAGAAATGTACGGTCGATACCAGTAATGGTTTCACATTAACGGTTTCACATTAACAATTCATTAACAAAGACTAAACTTATACGTTAGCCTACTGGTTTCGGTTAGGGTCATAATTCCCTAAAATTTCAATTTTATTGTTCTGTGAAAACATTTGAATTAACTCAAGTTTCTCACCAAAAACTACATTTACAAGACTGCATCGGAGACATCATGATAACTAGGGATGCTCCGATCGATCGGTCACCGATCGAGATCTGCCGATACTCACTCTCTACCGATCGATCGGTGCTCTCTAAACATGCCGATCGCGAGAGCCGATCGCATGACGTAAAATACATGACACTTTTCTCTGTGCGCGGCAAAACAAGCTCGCCAAAATGGCTTCACCGGTCTGGCAGTATTTTAAGGTGTCCGAAAAAGAGAGTAAAATAGCGGTATGCAACGTGTGTGAAGCAGAAATCCTGCAGCTCCACCCGCTGTGACGGACCGGTAAGCGGAGCGAAACACACAAGAGTTAGACCTAACACACTTAGCTATTTTATCTACCTCTGGAACAAGCTAAACTAGTTATACATATATTTATTCTTCACTGTCGGGTCACTCATTACTGGATCAGTGAGCTGCATGAGATACTGACAGGCTGTCAGGAGAGAGAGAGAGGGGGAGAGAGAGGGGGAGAGAGAGAGAGAGAGAGAGAGAGAGAGGGGGAGAGAGGGAGAGAGAGGGGGAGAGAGGGGGAGAGAGAGAGAGGGAGAGAGGAAAAGAGAGCGCTTCCGCTCATTTCTCCCGTGGTATTATCCAAAGTGAATGTAAACTTGAATAATGTACTTCATTTGAATGTAATAATTAAGTTGATTGTTGTTTGTGGAAGCTCCAGTGAATGAGCCCCATTAACTGAGTTTTAAACATCACTTTAAATGGAAGATTTAAAGTGATGTTTAAATCTTCCATTTAGGCCCCGCCCACTCGATCGGATCGGCGATCGATATCGGCCGATACTGATTCCGGCGATCGGCCCCAAAATTGGCGATCGGAGCATCCCTAATGATAACGTTATAATTTACGTTCTCCCCACATTCATTTTTACTTACCAGAGCATGAACGCATCTTCGTGCAACTCACTCCTTCGACTGCTAACAGCTAACTGCTAACGTTAACTACTTTCTTGCCGATTTGAACATGGATTTGTTGTTCAAAATGTAGTATTATTTCCGTAAATAGTGAGTTTACTGCGTCCCAAACTACTTTTCTATCGTCCCCAGGATGCCGTTAGTCTCGAGATTTCATGGCACCACCGGGAACTACGGTACTTGCGATACTGTCGAAAAACCAGTACCATCAACTTTTTAGGATATTGGATTCGACCTGAATTCTGAAAAAAGGTTATAATTGACCTCAATAATATTTTTGACTGAATAGATCTTGAACGCACTATAGTGCTAACTGCTAACGTTAGTTAACTTTCTTGCCGATTTGAACATGGATTCGTAGTTCAAAATGTAGTATTATTTCCGTCAATAGATAATGAGTTTGGGACGCAGTAAACTCATTATCCCCAGGATGCTGTTAGTCTTGAGTCCTCACGATACTACAGGAAGCTACGATACTTACACTACTACTTAAAACCAGTACCGTCAAGTGTTCAGGATTTTGGTTTCGACTTGGTATCGAGTATAACTTCTCGTGACATCCCTAAATCCCACCCAAACACCATATGAAGAGGTTAAGCTTTCCCTAAAGGCCAACACTGGTTGTTGGTATTTTCTCGAAGTCCAAACCAGATCGTGTTTTAAAGAAGATCTTGTCTGTTGTCGCTCAGACTGAAGCCTTGTGTTTGTAGAAACTTGAAAGACGTGTTTGTCCAGAGTTTGAGGAGCAGGTTGATGCTCCCGGTCAGTAGAAGTCTGTTTGTTAATAGTGTATCTATATGTGAATATTGACGGAGCAGCTGATGCTCACTTCCCTTCAGCTTGCATGGTTTGATTGAACATATTGAATCTGCAGGACGCTCCATCTTTACCCTCTCATTCTGAGAGTCTGTTCATCACCAATGAAGGTATTCTGATTGTTTAAAGACATAAATGGTTAGAAAAAAAACACCATTATATCTTTATTTGTATTTACTGTTTTACAACTCAAGTTAGTCATCCTTCTGATTAAGTACATATCAATAGAGAAGTGCAGGGATGTTTCTGTGTTGGTCCCTGAAGGCATCATCTCCCTGGTCCAATGGGATTCCCCTATGTGATTTTGGATTATTGCGGAAAGTAATCTCTGTGGGAAATGAACCTTTAGCTTGCGTTAATCACAGATGTTATTTTAGATTCTTCATTTTCTGCGCTAAATCTGCATTAAAGAAGAATCTGTTGGTCAATATTTCAAGTAGTATCAGATGCATGTAGCCGGGTCAGAGGTCAGAGGTCAGAAAATACAAAACGTAGTTTCTGCTTCCAACTTTTGCACTTACAAAGTTTTGTACAGTTTTGTACGTTCGCTCATCGTTGTGCCTAAACATGAGGTCATGTTTCAGAGGAGCTTTCCCTCTCGAGTCGACTCAAACGTCAGATTTAACGGAGAGGAAGTGGTTAATAATCCGGTCTGAGATACGTCTGTACATAAAGTCTCTATAAGCTGTTCATTAGAAGTGTCTTCATCCATTCAGCTGCTCCAACAGAATCACCTTCCAAATCTTCTTCTTTTCTTTCTGATCATGTTTTCTCGACTTTGCACAGATTCACCACTTTAATCTGTTTTTCTGTAATCTTGTAAAATGTGCTGTTGATATTTGCTGCTTCTCTGCTTTATGTCTCCACTTGTTACCGAGTCTGTTCTGCGTCAGAGGCAAATGAAGTCTAAAATATTTTAGTTAATAGTTCTTGAGATGAATATATTCCAAGTTACAGTTCAAGCTTCAAATTCTTTGATACTGCTTTTGAATTTTGATATATCTTTTCTAAAGACCTTCACCTGTACAATTTTGAAAAAAGTCTAAAGATTGAAAGAAATCTGAATTTGAAAAAAGTCTGAATTGGAAAAAAAGTCTGAATTTGAAAAAAGTCTGAATTTGAAAAAAAGTCTAACATTTAAAAAAAGTGTAGATTTTGAAAAATTCGGAATTCTAAAAGAAATCTGAATTTTGAAAAAAGTAAAATATCGAAAAAGTCTGCAAAAATGTCACTTTTGGTCAGATCTAATAAACCCATGAGGCCCTTATCCTCTTCCTTATAATATCGTCCATCTTTAGAAATCATAATTACCGATAACTTCGAGACTTTTCTGAAGCAGGACAGATTCGAGGTAACGCCACGCTGCCAAATGATTTCCGGACACAGACTGTAGCTTTAAGAAGATTTTCTGTTTATTACTTTTTATTTGCACGCGATCATCACAAACTGCTGATAGCTCTGTCTTGAAGAGAGGATTTGTGTAGCTGGATGGAAAAATGTGAGGCTGAATTCAAAGAATGTTTTTAAGCCAAAAATGATTCGACTGAATCTTAAAATATCTGTAGAAAAAGATTCATGAATGTTTTTCTGTGTTTTTGTCCTTTTGCTTTTCTGTCCTTTTAAAAAGTGTTTTCAATCATTTTAATTGTGTTTTATTTAAAGTACATTTCCAGTGTTATGGAGGTTTTCAAACTCATTCAATTTAACCTTTTTTTGGTTCAAATTTGTATTTTTTATAATATTCAGGGAAAATCTAATATTTCTGATGCTGAACAACGTGTGATTTTATATTTTAGTTTTACTTACTGACTTCATTTATGACAATAGGTCTGCAGTCATTTAAACAATTGACAGAAGATTAATCTGCATACATTTAGCAGTGATTACTTATTTGTTTAAAGTTATTAATCAAAGCAAAAATAAATGGAACAAATTTACAACAAAAAAATTCATTTAAGGATTGATCGAAAACAATTAGCTACAGGTAAAAAAAAATCAAATCATGAAATTCTGGTTATTTAAAGTCATATTAACAGAAGAAAACATCAAGGTCATCTTTTCTCTTTTAAACTCTATATTACGACCTAGAATAAAAAGATATTGAGAAAATATGTTTTTAAAGAAAAAGGTTTGTCATTATTTTAAGAAACTAAGTTATGTCAATACATCTTACTTATCAGACAATAAGCACATTTTCTGAGATATTACTTCATTATTTTGACCACATTTCTCACTATAATTACTTATTTTGTTTTCTTCCAGAAGTCTCTATTAATCCGCTCTCATGTCACTGAAAACCTCCATCACACAGATTTCTGTATTTTAACGATAACTTGATGATTTCTGAAAATGAAACACCCCTAAAAAAAGTCATTTGTGTGTACAGTACATTTCCGCAGCTGCTTTATTTTAGCTTCTTGTTCTTCATCATGTTAAAGCTTTCTGTTGTTTTATTATATCCTCTTTATGTTTCCTCACATCGACCCGTCAACGTCTGTCAGTATTAAAGTCATATCTCACTCCGGAGAAAAATACGGTGATATTTCTCAGTTAAATAAAGACTGAAATGTTTATTTTAAGAGATTTTGCTACAAAAAAATTGCTTTTATTTTTGGGGTTTGATGTGGACTTTCCAAAATGTCAACAACAAAAAATCCACAAAAAAACCAACCTTGATAAATAAAGTGTATATCTATGTATCTAATTGCTCTGGCTGTTGACTAAACTTCTAATAATTTAACTGAATTATTACCTTTTTTCCAAAATGTAAAACGTGTTTTTATTAATAAATTACTATAATTTTATCTCTTTTAAAAAAACTGCGTGAAACTGACAACATTTTGCTAATTTTGCTAAATATACGTATAATTGAGATTTTGAATGTAGGACCTTCACCTGTACAATTTAGAAAAAAGTCTAAAGATTGAAAGAAGTCTGAACAGTCAACACTTTGAAAAAAAAGATACCATTTTGGGAAAAGTGAAAAAAGAAAAAGTGATTGAAAAAAGTCTGAATTTAGAAAAAAGTCAACATTTTGAAAGAAGTCAACATTTTGAAAAATGTTTGAAGAAAAGTCAAAATTATATTTTTTAATTGAAAACTTTAAGCACTTTAAATGTATACGTTTGTGAAGCGTTGTGTGTCAATGACCCTAACACTGTTAATATGAAATAAGTATTTTCGATTTGATTTCCACGACACCAGCAGATATTCGTTCAGGTTAAAAAGCTGAGAAATAACGGACACTTCGGAGTGAGGTACGGCTTTAAAAAAACACCAAAGGGCTGCTGAAGTAGAAGAAGGGAAATAAAAGCACATCTAACATTCACAGTATTTTTTCAAATTGTAAATATTATTTCTTTTTGGACAAATTCTCGACAAATGAGAGGATGTATTTTTATGCAACTGTAAAATAAAAGTCTATATTCGAGTGTTTATCAGGAGGGTCCCACGGCTGTAAAGATGACGCAGAATGACTTTTTAGTTTTTAATAGAAAACAATTCATCTACATACTATAAATATATATTATATTGTATATTGTATATGAAAACTCTCAATAAAAGAACATCTGTATCGTAGAAAATGTGTGTTTTTTGTCTTCTGAACAAAAACTGATTCTAATTAACAGACTTTCAAAATATTTGTTATACTGTGACTTTTTCAAAATACTATAATATGACTTTTTCTCATAACTTCTTTTTTCGACATGACTTTTTTTCACCACTTTTGATAAACTATACTATAAATGTTTTCCAACATATTTTACTATTACTTTTTTTTTACATACCGTACTATGATTTGTTTAATCAACATGCTATACAAACACTATAATATGACTTTTCTGACATATTAACTTCTTTTACAACTTTTGATAAACTATTTTATAAATGTTTTTTCAACATACTATAATATTACTTTTTTTTGAACATCCTATAACATTTCAGTCAGACAACTCACGTGTTTCTTAATATGTTTATTAGAAGCAGCATATAGTTTGAGTTAGGCGTCTAGGCTCGGGCCTCATCACTCCACAGATTAACATAGAACATTGAGTGATGATTAGATACTGTAACTATCCCCCCCAGCCTACAGGTGGAAGCTGGGGTGGAAGCTGGGGTGGAAGCTGGGGTGGAAGCTGGGGTGGAAGCTGGGGTGGAAGCTGGGGTGGTGGTGGGGCAGGCGAGCAGCAGCACGTGAACGCATCAGCAATGTGACAGAGCAGCAGCATTAGCGAGGCAGAGGCAGAAGACCTGGCAGCTTAAATAGAGCGGCAAGTTTAGGAGATTGTGTTTGGTTGGATATGAGAGAGACGCGTCACGTGTTCATGTATAGGGTTGCAAAGGGGCGGAACATTTCCGGAAAGTTTCCATGGGAAGTTAAGCTGGGGAATTTTGGAAATATTCGATGCAAAATTAAACGAAAAACATGATATTTCAACAGAACAAGTTTTAATTATTTGATTGAACAATTATTTGTTTCATTGAAGAACGAAAACATGGAGGAATGCACAGTGCCTGTAGGGGGTGTGGTCTCAATAGCCATGCAGTAAGCAGTGTGCTATGGCATATATATATATTCAAGTGTACTTGAATGGCATCTGTTTGTTTTAGTCAAGATTATGCTAAAATATACTTTCCCCAACTATATTTAAGTTCCCTATGAAGAGCCAACCTTCAATTTAGAAAATTCCCAGTTTATTCCCATCAATTCCCGTGGAAAGTTTCCATCTTTGAAAATTCCCGGAATTTTGCAACCCTATGAATGTATCGTGCTCGAGTTGACTGCCTGAACCAGCTCGCAGGCTTTGCCCCATATATGACTTTTTTCAACATACTATAACTTTTATGACTTTTTCAACACATTCTTAGTACTTTTTGTCTATACTATATTGTTTTCCACATACTTCACCATGACCCTTTGGATAAACTGTACATTTACTTTATTAAGTCTTGGAAATGACCTCACATTGATTAATGCGTTATTAAAATAGTTGATCATGAATATTCTGGAAGTGAACTCATTGAATAATAAAGAAAAACACAGACAAGAAAATACAAATAATTGAGTTTCTTCTTTTATTGTTTAATCCAATCACTGTTTCCAGTATTAAAGGATTAAAAAGAGCACAAATGATCGACTTATCCTTGCGTGATTTATTCATATTTCAGCGTCTTCACATTATCTGAGCGTTACATGATAAACGCTCAGGACGTCACACACTGATGGAAACATAATTCTGTCGCACAAAAAAAACTCAAAATGTCTAAAAAAGGACGAGGAAAATGAGCTGCTGTCTTTAAAAAAAAAAAAAAATGATAATAAACGGTTTATTATGTTGGTGCTGCGGATGATTTCTACTCACTGTTTTTTACTTTAAATGAGAGATTCGGACAGATCAGGAAACAGGAACCTTTGTAAAATAAATTGAAGTAAGAGAGGACGCTGAGAGGTCAGAGGTCAAAGGTCAGCGTGACAGCAGTGGGAGGTCGCTGGAGTTCATGATGAGGGAGGAGTCCAGGTTCAAGTTTTCTGAGGAAACAACAACAACAACAAGAACATTAAAATATGATACAAATAAATCTGCAAAACCAAAACTCACCGTATAAAATACAGACCATAAAACACTACATATCAGACTCTCAGGTGTGAACAGATCCTGCAGTGGTGGAAATACATATATTTAAATGCCCCCTATTATCAGCTCTCAGATATATCCAGAGCCTGTCCCTGATTGGCTGAAACACCAAACAGATAATTGCAGCATTACCCATAATCCCCTCTGTTTCAGCCCTGTTTCCAAAGTGCTGATTCTCTGTCTGTTACTTTAGATGAAAATAAGGAGCCCCTCCCCACGCCCCTCTGAGAGAGATTTGGTTACAAAGAACTCAATGGTGCTCTAGGAGGAGATTCAGGTGATAAGGGGGGGGGGGGTTACCTTGGTTGCTGATAACTATAATAATAAAGGGATATTTCCTGACCTTGGTCGAAGTTGAGTTTCTTGTTGTTGGAGTCTCCGAGTCCTTCGATGTCCACGAGGTCGCTGTTTACATCCGAGTCGTTCAGAGCGCTGAGGGTCACATCTGTGGGGGGGGAGCAGTGTGTCACTTCCTGTCTCTGACTTCACAATAAAAGCCCTGTTCCTTCACAATAAAAGCCCTGTTCCTTCACAATTAAAGCCCTGTTCCTTCACAATTAAAGCCCTGTGCCTTCACAATAAAAGCCCTGTGATAGCTCACTTCCTGTCCCTGCCTTCACAATTAAAGCCCTGTTCCTTCACAATTAAAGCCCTGTTCCTTCACAATAAAAGCACTGTTCATTCACAATAAAAGCCCTTGTCCTTCACAATAAAAGCCCTGTGCCTTCACAATAAAAGCCTTGTGCCTTCACAATAAAAGCCCTTGTCCTTCACAATAAAAGCCCTTGTCCTTCACAATAAAAGCCTTGTGCCTTCACAATAAAAGCCCTGTTCCTTCACAATAAAAGCCTCTCACCTGAGGTCTTCTGCTTCTTGAGGGGCGGGGCCAGGGAGGGGCTGTTCTGCATGCCCGTTGCCGTGATGACGACCTGTGACGTCGGCACGGGGATCATCGCCGGGGGGTTGGGGGCGCCGGATGTCGTCGTCATGGCGACGGCGGCGGTGTTCTTCTTCGTGTTTTTTTTGGGCGATTCGATGGGAACGCGGCTGTCTTCGTACAGCTTCCTCTTCACCGTGCTCTTAATCTGAGCCCTGAGGAAACACCGTTAGCTTAGCTTAGCATAGTCACTGCAAACAAAGGGAAACTGCTAGCATGGCTCTGAGTCCTAAAAAATGTTTTGAAGTTAATTAATGTATTACATGTTGGGCCAAAGATTTACTTAGGTTAATATTTAATTAGAAATTAAGCGGTTTTGTGTACATGTACATGTTTTAGGCAGTAAAACAAATGTTCTTAAATGTTCCTTTATTTTTGTCAAGAAGCAAATAAACAAATGTTTTTACTGCCTTAAATAAAAGAAGTTACATCAGTAATGAAGTGATAGACATGACGAGAGCCCTTAAAGGTGTAGGAAGTGTCTGATCAATCACACGGAGGAGACTTTAGAGAAGACCAGGAAATGATGGATACACGGATCGTGTTCAAATCAATAGGCACGCAATGACTCTAAATAATAATGATCACGCCACCAAACACACATTCAAACTAAAGGAACCAGCCTGTTTGGGAAATGTAAGAAGTAGAAAGTACAGGTATTTGTGTTCAACATGTAAGAAGTAGAAAGTACAGGTATTTGTGTTCAACATGTAAGAAGTAGAAAGTACAGGTATTTGAGTTCAACATGTAAGAAGTAAAAAGTACAGGTATTTGTGTTCAACATGTAAGAAGTCAAAGTAAAAAGTCGTCAGAAAAATAAGTAGTGGAGTAAAGTACTGATACCAGAAACATGTACTTAAGTACAGTAACAAAGTACTTGTACTCCACTACTTCCCAGCTCTGGTATCAGGAATACGTACACAGTTCGCTCTTTGATCACCGAGCTGATGTTGTTCAGATCGTCTCCGAAACGACGCACGGCGACTCGAAGCAACTCGATCTCCGTCTCCGTCCACTTCGCTCTGAGGACAAAACTTTAGCTTCATCACACCGTCACAATTTAAACTATTAATGCTGATGTTCAGGTGTATATCAGTATGTAGTGTCTCTACTTTAAAGAGTCCTCTCCTGCTGATGTTCAGGTGTATATCAGTATGTAGTGTCTCTACTTTAAAGAGTCCTCTCCTGCTGATGTTCAGGTGTATATCAGTATGTAGTGTCTCTACTTTAAAGAGTCCTCTCCTGCTGATGTTCCGGTGTATATCAGTATGTAGTGTCTCTACTTTAAAGAGTCCTCTCCTGCTGATGTTCAGGTGTATATCAGTATGTAGTGTCTCTACTTTAAAGAGTCCTCTCCTGCTGATGTTCAGGTGTATATCAGTATGTAGTGTCTCTACTTTAAAGAGTCCTCTCCTGCTGATGTTCAGGTGTATATCAGTATGTAGTGTCTCTACTTTAAAGAGTCCTCTCCTGCTGATGTTCAGGTGTATATCAGTATGTAGTGTCTCTACTTTAAAGAGTCCTCTCCTGCTGATGTTCAGGTGTATATCAGTATGTAGTGTCTCTACTTTAAAGAGTCCTCTCCTGCTGATGTTCAGGTGTATATCAGTATGTAGTGTCTCTACTTTAAAGAGTGTGTGTGTGTGTGTGTGTGTGTGTGTGTGTGTGTGTGTGTGTGTGTGTGTGTGTGTGTGTGTGTGTGTGTGTGTGCGTGTGTGTGTGTGTGCGTGTGTGTGTGTACCCTGCAGGACTGGAGTCTGATACTGGGTGTAACTGCATGGTCAGCTCTCCCAGTTTACTGAAGGCGGCTCCAGCAGCAGAGAAGATCTCCCCCACCTGCAGAGAGACAAGTACAGTATATATACTACACTGTGGAGATACTGCAGTACATTAAGTACATGCATTTGAAACATACATTCAGTATGTGATATAAACTAATGCAGTCAGTAATCTCTAAAGTCTGGATATCTCTATAGCAGGGTTATAACTTTAGTGCAATAACAATAAACCAAATTCACCATCAGATGATATAAATGGAGAAACATATGACTACTCTTTGCACTCTGTGAATCTAATCTAATGCATTCATGATAAACCTAATTCTCATGTGGTCTATATGTGCGATAAGGTGTGTGCAGTACCTGCTCTTTAAAGAGTTCCTGTACAGATGAATGCATTAAATAAATGCCGAGTTCACCATAACACTGTATATCAGATAATAAGAGATAAAGCACTCATCATATGGTCTATTTCTGCACAACAAACAAAGCAGTCTAATGAACAGGTTTCTTAGTGCAGCTCTAATGAGTTCAGATTCCGTTTAACGAACCCAGGCATTCTTACATAGTTTAGTGCATTAACACTATCCCGATTCACCATTGCACTGTATTCACTTCAGATAACAGAAGTTACATTAATGTTATTAAAATGTAAAAGTCTATTTCTGCACGAACACTGCAGCTCAGTGTGACTCCACTTAGTTTAATGACTCGTTTCTTTACAGATTAATGCATTTACTATATGCCGAATTCACCATAACATTGTATTAATATCAGATAATTAAATATTAAGCACTTGTTGTATGCTTAATATTTGTGAGATAAAGAAAGGTTTTAAATCGCCAGGTTTCTGAGTGCAGTTTTGCTCTTTAAAGAGTTCCCTGCACACAATCCGCCCTGCAATAAGTGCGTTAATTAATAAGCAGGTAACAACTCACCTTAGCAGAGGCTGACGTCATGGCAGGGAAAGATCTGCAGCTTTTTCTTTAAAAACTTCAAAACAATAACACCAACACTCAGCTAGCTGTTAGCCACAGTTAGCTCCTGCAACGTTAGAGAGCACAGGATTTATAAAACACAAAAAACGAAGCTCTGAAGAAACTCGTGGAGAAGATCGATTATAATCCAGAGGTGTTTATATTTCACATATTCAGAGGAAAGAGAGATAAATATCACACAACAAAGGTACACGGAATAAACAAGGGAATATTGCGCGACTTTGGAGGTGGAATCCCATTGGTCAGTGTCAAAGGAAGAGGAGGGGAATTCCTATCTTGACGTTTTGATTGGTCATGACGAATCTTTTTTTCCCTTTTATTATTCAAGAAAATATATAAACGTCATATATTTTGTATACACACAAAACAATTCAGGGATAGACAAATAAAGTATTATAAAATTACATAAAATAAAAATACAGTTTCACATTTCAACAATCTGGACATTTCATTGGTCAGTCTCAACGGAAAAGGCGGGATGTAACGAACAGGCCGTTTTGATTGGTCGTTACGCTGGTTGACGAGTGAAGCCGAGTTTCAACGAGTGAACCCGAGTGATGCGGATCAGCTGACCGTGAGCCTCTGTCGTCCTTCCATGGATAATTTCTGCTCAGTTTTGTGAATAAAACACATATAAATCCGCTTCTGGTTGATCGGTTGGACCCTGAAAAAGCAGGCATGCCGTCGCTTCTGTTCTGCGGGCCGAAGATGGCTGCGTGCGGGATCGTGATCAGCATCTGGGGGGTCATCATGCTGGTGAGAACCGGGGAGGGGGACGGCTACTTCCTGGAGCTATGTGGGGTTTATAGTGAAATGAATGTCAAATCTTTTCAGTGGTGAATTTGTATTCTTCATAATGTGTGTTCACCTTCATGATATCCTAAAAATATTTTAAAAACAGCAAGAATTCGGTTGCAAAGTCGATGCATTTCCATATTCTCCAGTTGATAGACGGCGCCCATTTAGGCCAAGTTACCATAGACATGAAGGTAAATAAGATGTAATGTAATATTATAACAATATTAATGAACACCATTCTGATCAGTGCAGTTGTGTCTGTGTAATTAACGTTATGGAGCTGGCTAATGTCTGGTTTTCCGTTTAAATGAATGGTGAGGTGACAGAGGATTAACCAGGAATGTGTCAGTGTGGTGTCAGAAGGTAATTTAAACACAGAGGCATTTACAATATTTATTATTAATATACACTAATGAAATCCTTATAATACACTAGCTGGTGACAGGATTATTCATATATAATATTAAAGTATGTAGTTGTTTTCTAACTGACACATATATGAACAGTACACACTAACAGTAATATATAATAATGTTGTGTATCATTATTTAACACAGAGATGTACCATCGCAATGCAACAATACTCCAGTAAATAAACAGATGCAAATATGATCAATATTCAGAATATAAAGAGGAACTAAAGAGGCAAAATAAATGTGACTTAAATGAATCATGTGACTTTTATTTTTGACGTCATGTGATGTTTGAGAACAGGAAGTCAGTGTTTCCATAAATGGAGCATGAGGGAAAATGATCCACATGTGTTAGAGACAGTCACGTTATAATAAAGGTACAAATGTTTTTATAAAAGCCTCAGATAAAAAGGTGGGTTTTCAGGCAGGATTTGAAGGTTGAGAGTGAGTCCATATTGCGGATGTCTTGTGGGAGAGAGCTCCAGAGAAGGGGGTCAGAGTGGCTGAAGGCTCGTGACCCCATGGTGGTCCGGCGGGCAGAAGGTACAGTGAGCTGGAAGGCAGCGAAGGATCGGAGAGCACGAGAGGGAGTGTAGGTGTGAAGGAGTTCAGAGAGATATGGAGGTGAGGCAGGAGTGTGAAGGGCCTCGAAGGTGAGGAGCCACATGTTGAAGTGGATGCGGTATTTAATGGGGAGCCAGTGGCGTTGTTGAAGAACCGGGGTGATGTGATCAGTGGAAGGAGTTCTGCTAACGATACGGGCGGCTGAGTTTTGGACCAGTTGGAGCTTACGCAGGAGTTTACTTTCGCATTAGGGCTGCTTGTAATTCATGACAACATTAAGTAATCATTGAAACCCTTACTTTGTCTAAATAAATACCTAAATATGAATTAATTCACCTAAATGGGGATATGGTTTCTCTTGCAGGGGATGCTGGGAATCTTCTTCAGCACCAAGTCGGCGATCCTGATCGAAGACGTGCCGTTCACCGAGGAGGACATCCGCAACGAGTGAGTCGCTATGAACTCTGGGAGTCTGAGTTTTTACTCTCGTCTGGTTTAATACTGCAGATAAACCCAAAGTAGACTCACATTTAATCCCAACATAAACTACGAGTGTGAAGCAGAGTCACCTCCGTCATGGTCTCTGATTGGCTGAAACACCAAACAGATCATTGCAGCATTACCCATAATCCCCTCTGTTTCAGCCCTGTTTCCAAAGTGCTGATTCTCTGTCTGTTACTTTAGATGAAAATAAGGAGCCCCTCCCCACGCCCCTCTGAGAGATATTTGGTTAAAAAGAACTCAATGGTGCTCTAGGAGGAGATTCAGGTGATAAAGTGGGGGGGGGTTACCTTGGTTGCTGATTGGCTAATGGTTACACAAGACAAAACATCGTTATGACATCATAAAGTGGCCAAAATCTGATCAGCTCATTTTCAGACAGGTTTTTATATAAATGGATCAAAAAGAGAGAGAATCTTTGTTCCTGAAACTTTCAGAGTCTCTTTGCACAGAGGGGACACATGTTGATGTAGAAGAGACATGAAGAAGAGGGGACACATGTTGATGTAGAAGAGACATGAAGAAGAGGGGACACATGTTGATGTAGAAGAGACATGAAGAAGAGGGGACACATGTTGATGTAGAAGAGACATGAAGAAGAGGGGACACATGTTGATGAAGAAGAGACATGAAGAAGAGGGGACACATGTTGATGTAGAAGAGACATGAAGAAGAGGGGACACATGTTGATGTAGAAGAGACATGAAGAAGAGGGGACACATGTTGATGTAGAAGAGACATGAAGAAGAGGGGACACATGTTGATGTAGAAGAGACATGAAGAAGAGGGGACACATGTTGATGTAGAAGAGACATGAAGAAGAGGGGACACATGTTGATGTAGAAGAGACATGAAGAAGAGGGGACACATGTTGATGTAGAAGAGACATGAAGAAGAGGGGACACATGTTGATGTAGAAGAGACATGAAGAAGAGGGGACCCATGTTGATGTAGAAGAGACATGAAGAAGAGGGGACACATGTTGATGTAGAAGAGACATGAAGAAGTGGATTTTGCATAATAGGTCCCCTGTAATGCAAAATCATGGTCTGGCTCTAACTCTCAATGTGTGGTGTCGTTAATTTTTCTTTTATATTCAACACATGTCCCCCTTTTGGACTCACATGTCCCCTCCTGGACCCTCAATGTCTGTGTGAATCTTTCCATATCAAATACTTCCTGTACTCCCAGCCGTTGCTGCTTCGTGGGCGGAGGTCTGGTTTTCTGAATGGAGTTTGGTTGATTTGTGCTAAGCTAACATTTAGCTGCTGCATCAACTGACTGAGGAATACATACGTTAACACCTTAGACTGTAAATATATATATATAGGTTTATACACAGATATTGAGTAAGAAAAAGGGTGATAAACGCTGTGAGAATGGGTCTGCAGAGAGAATTTCGCCGCGATCCCAACTGTCTGTTATCAGCCTGCAGCCAGGGAGGAGAAATCAGCTGAACAACAAAAGTATATATACATGTTTATATAGAAAATAAAATAAATCACAGGGCTAGTTGTCAGTCAACTTACTATTAAATATGTCGAGGTGGAACTGAGAAAGCCCTTTCAATTTCTGTGAAATGAGAACAATAATGCCCTGATTTTGTATTTTTAAAAAACAGATCAGTGTTCGGCAACTGTGTGTTACAGGTCTATTTACAAGAATCTGCCTCTCTTCTTTTAGGTTTGTACAGCATAAACACCGCACACAGATGTGTGTGTGAGGAAGTCCGTGGATTGGTCAATTTGGACCAATCAGCGGGGGCTTAACGTAACGGCTCCGCGGACGTAACGTAACGGCTCCACGGATTGGTCCATTTCGTTCCGGGTACGGCTTGACATCATGCCGTACCCGGAACGAAATGGAAGAATCAAATGGACAATGACGTATCTCCAACGAGGCGTTTTGGGGAGGTATTTTCTGTGTTAGAGTTTTACTCGCTACAGGGTGTACTTTGAGGGGTTGTGACTCTGCACACCGTTTACATGCATAAAAACCTTCATAACACACAAGGGGACGGGTAATAACCGGAAAAGCATGACATGGGCCCTTTAACATTTTTTGAGCACAGATCAAAATAAATGGAGGTTTATTGAGAATATGACGTAAATTGATATTTTAGTTTTCTTCTTTATTTACAGGAGCTGCCAGATACATATCTTAACACAGTTTAATATCATTGTATGTTATTAACATGTATTGAATCCTCTCTGTGTGCAGTAAGAATCCCCCGGGGAACATCTACGGCCTCTACACTCAGGTCGGGATCAACTGCTTCATCGCGGCTGGGATCTACGTGGCGGTCGGCGCCGTGTCGCTCTGCCAAGTCCGCCTCAACAAGCGCCAGGAGTACATGGTCACATAGATGACACTCACACAGCCAATCAGCAGCCGGCTCGCTAAGATCTGAGCGAGCTGATTGGTTAACGAAGTGAAGAGTTATTTATTTTAAATGTTTGTAGATGTTGTTGTTTGAGACATTCCTGTGAGCGTCACTCGTGATGCATGACACATTTAAATATAAAATAAAGCAAATGAGGAATTAAATCTAATTATTATATTATTGACTAAACAGTTTTATCATTTTGTATATTTTCCATCTTGTTTATTTTCAGTTTTGTTGTTGTTTACAGAGAAGGTGTAAGTGTGTTGATGCTCCTGCAGATCAAGCGTGTTTAATGTGAAGAAATGATGGTTGTGGATTATCCTGCAATAAAGTGTGTGTACAAAATAAATAACACTGGTCTGTCGTGAACTCACCTTAAACATAGGGAGAGGACTCTTTAAAGTAGAGGCACTACATACTGATATACACCTGAACATCATCAGGAGAGGACTCTTTAAAGTAGAGACACTACATACTGATATACACCTGAACATCAGCAGGAGAGGACTCTTTAAAGTAGAGACACTACATACTGATATACACCTGAACACCAGCGGGAGAGGA